TAAGTAAGTTTTTTTTCTTATGTACATGTTTCAAAATATAAATCGGAAACTGATATTAAGTATGAATACCATGTCATCACTACTTTCTATTTTTTTTAATTTTTGACGTTATCCAATGCATTATGCTTGATTTACTGATCATCAGTCATTTGTGCAGCGCATCACATTTGAGCCGCGTCACGACAAAACCAACATAATGGGTTTGCGACCAGCATGGATCCAGACTAGACTGCGCATCCACACAGTCTGATCAGGATCCATGCTGTTCGCTTACATACTCTATAACACGTAAAGAAACTGATAGCGAACAGCATGGATCCTGATCGTACTGCACGGAGGCGCAGGCTGGTCTGGATCCATGCTGGTCGCAGCGGCTCATTTTAGGTCACTTTTGCTTTTGTCATGTCATAATTTATGTTTCTAACACAACCTACATATCCGTTTTGGCTGCCCTGGCCATCAGAAAACCAGTATTTCTTTTTTTTTTTAAATGTTTTCTGTTCACTGGATATTCCCTTTCGGGTAATTTATTATTTTAAAATTTTATGAGATAATGGCATAACTTAATTTTTTTACAGATTTCCTGCCAGCCTGACAACATTTCCAAGCTTGAAATACTTTACTATATAATACCCTCCTACGAATGTTGTTCTTTGACATAACAGCATAAACACAGCTTACTGTGTTGTGGCTTCATTTGGTGCTTTCCTCATGAGTTTCTTTTATTGAACTGAGGCATATATAACTGAACACGTGTAGCAATATCTGAATGCGCTGCATGCATGTTACTATGGTTTAATATACAATCAAATGGCATGTTTGCATTATTTAATGAGTATATTATTTTTTTTATCTTATTTTATTAATTAAATATTCCAATTTGTTTCAATATATGGTTAACTAAATTTGAACCACCTGTGTCTAAGCAACAACAAAAGTGTATGTTATTTTGGATCATCTCTCATAATGAGTAATGAGATTTGTAAAGACTATCATCTATGTAATTAAAAAGGTCCCCTGGTGAGACCAATTTTGACCCCAGGGGCATAATTTGAATGATATTGGTATAGAACCACCAATCAATGTTATAATTCTAAAATAACAAGGCTCTAGGCCTTGAGGTTTCAGACAAAAGGACTTTTAAAATTTTTGCTTAACAAGTCCATGCAAAAGTGATGACCCCCTAGGGTGCAGCCATTCCTTCTTTCCAGAACAATAATTTGAACAACTTTTGTAGATGACCACTAGATGATGTTATAATCAAAATATCAAAGCTGTTTTTGGCCTTGTTGTTCTACAAAATGAATAAGATATTTCAAAGATTTTGTATTTTTTACAGAAGGTTCTTTCCTACTGTCAAACCATTGCACAAAGGCATCATCCCTTTACAATTATCTTGATGTCTTGTTGATTGGTTTAATTTGCTGGATGAAAGGGAGATGCAGACTGCATGACCCTCCCTGATGAAAATACCTGAAGTTAATGTTGCAGATAATCATGAGTAATTTTAACAAAAGTCTATGTCAGTGCCCATGCTTTCCTGAGGACGGCACATTTCAGGAAAGAGAAAGGGTTTTTACCAGCTAATTTTATTTTAATTTTTACAATAAAAAACCTGTTTAAATGTAAAAATATATCACCCTATAAAACATATCATCACCCTATGAAACATATTAAAATATAATTAAATATATGTTTCATTGTGGAGAGGTGGGATATTTTTCACCTAGCATGTACTGCCCCCTCCCTTGTGGGTAAAAACATTCGAGCAAAATAAGCTCATAATAGAAAACTTGTAGCTTGAAGTTAAAAAAATTACTTAACTGCACTTTCGTAAGTTAATACTTATACGAAACTTACTCATATTGGTCATAAATGCTTAAAATGCTTGTTCATTCATACTGCCTACTGGGAAACAAAATGTATACATGCTTCTCTCGTGCAATTTTCATTTCAAAAAATTTGGTCCTAAAACAAGTGATGCAATTTCCATAAAATAAAGGTAAGCATAAGATTTTGAAATGAAACATATTTGTCAAAACTTTACCAAATAGACTTGAGCTTCTCCTTCTGAGAAAATTTTCTCGCTCGTGCATCAAAACAAAGTGCACAAAAATGAATTTCAACAAGGGAGGCAACCTTCCTGATCTGCTTAGCTATCAGGCGCATGTGTCCCGCATTTTTTTCATCAAAGAAAATTATTTTATACTTTTATAAATGAATTTTTCAGAGTAACATGAATATTATGTTTATCATTTTCATGGTATTTTTATATCTTTAAGTATTGCATTACTAGTGAAGCAAGTACTGTGTATTGCGTTGTTAAAACGTTGATGTAATATATTTAATACACAAATGTAGCTTATATCTCTAGCAAAACACTCTTGATTTGGCCCACCCCTTCGATCTGTTTCTCGTCCATTATTTCTGCATCAAAATACTTTGTTTTCAAGTCAGTTATTCGTGATTTTTCTGCACCTGTGACCTAACTTTACGATTTTATTAACGTGGGTGCGTGCTTCATTTCGATCTTAGTTTAGAACGTTTGATTTCTGTTAAAAATGGTCGTATCTTCGTAATTGAAAATTACCTCAAATTTATCTATTTTCCTTGAAAGACTTGTTTCCAACGCTTCATTTATGCAGCAAATTGTAATTCTCTTACCAGTACCTCCTGGTTTATTTGTCAGGACTCCTTCATAAAGTTCCACACCACAACAAAAACTTGTTGGCATGCCTCTCATGCTCTAACCCTTGACAAATTCGTGAACGTTGCGCTAGTTCTTAGCTTGTATTACGACTGTTTGATCTGGTCTTACAAATGCTTCATTACCTTCAATTCTAACAGCACTGCTATCAAAGTGGTGTTTCTATTTCATAACATATTTTTCGCGATGTATTTCTTCTTTTGATTTAGGCAGTTAGGCAGGCTTGTAATGATTTTACACTACTTTTGCTTACTTCTACCTAGACTTTATTTCAACCTTAGCTTGTCGCTTAATACCTCTACAAAATGTATATGTAATAAACCTGATTTTTCAGTGATGCTTTTATCTGGCTCAAATCGTAAGTTTTGGACTGTCCATTCTGCTTTGTTTTCTCTCCTAAATATCTTCACTCTATAACCTATTCCTGATGTTTTCTTCTATTTATTTTTCCTGTCAATCCTTTGTCTAAATTCAAACCTGGTTTTGCTGCTACATTACGTTTCAATCAATTCATCGTTTCAATCAATTTATCGTGTTTTACTTCAGATGTCACTGAAAATTATTCAATGTGGTGACAAATGCCTAACTTTTAGTACCTGCAACATCCCAATTCTCTCTTTGTATCATTACTATTGGACCTTGCTCCTCGTGGCATATATATTCTGATTTGACATAAAATTGCTTCTGCTTCGATGTTCGTGTAATATTTTGATCTTTTTCTTTTTTTAATGAATGTTGACGACCTGTTATTTCCGATCAATATGAAATAGAAAGATTTTAGGTTTATAGGCAACAAGAAATGATACATGTGACAGGAATAAATCCGACGGTATATTTTTGCAGTATCAAATGTGTAGGACATTGGTTGGAGATTGAGGCGGCTATTATCTAAAACCTTCTGGTTTTTGACAAGAAGATTTTTCAAAAGTGTTCAGCTCTCATTGGCAGATTTTCAGTACCAAATGATATATCTAGGACCACTTGTCCAAAAACAATGTTTGTTACACGAAGTAAAAAGGTTCCGGTACATTGCATATCTGGAACACATGGGGTAAATTAGATTTTTGATACCTTTAAAACGCTCACATAAGATCCAATTATAGTAAAGGCAGTAGTTATTCTTAGTCATTTGGACTGGGCAAACTTTGATCGTTCATATTTATACACGTAACTTTACTTAGTAGAGGTCAACCAGGTAATGTATATTTAATTGCTTTTTCCTATATAAGCCAATGTTTAAACCGATTTATACTCCAAAAATAATGTTTTTAAAATTTGCAGATGGCCTCAAAGTTGTGCTTCATGCCAAATACCTACTCTCTTGGCATTGTTTCTGTGGAAGATATTCCTTTACAAGTCAGTGTAACAAGAAAGGCTGGGTAGGTCTGGATTCATTGAACTTTTATAATGGTCTACTAAGAAATGCTATGCTTAATCCTTACCCTGCTTAACCCAGTGATTAGTATTTGCCACCAGTATAGTGTCAAATATATACATGTCAAATACATGTATCTTTTGTACAGGCCTACAAGGCAATATGCTACATGCAAAATATATGCTCTTGGAAAGGCAGGTTCAGAGATTTAAATGTTTCTCTGTACAAGTCAACTCTGAAGGACATCATTTATACATGACCAAAGAGTGATGCTACATGCCATATATCAAAGTTCTGGGTATTGTTGTTTCTAAGGAGAGTAATTTTAATGTCTGTTTCTTATGCAAGTCAATATGACAAAGGATCTGCACATTTGTCTAACTGAATACTGGCTAACCTATTAGCAAAATGTTTATGCCTTCTTTATATTCAGAACATACAAATGTTCCTGATAGAAAAACAACTAGATAATTCAAACAGCTTTTCTTTATTTACAGTTAAAAATACATGTATATATTTCAAGTAATGTGAGTAAACAAGCAAATTATAATAACCATTAGACCTGTCATGATGACTCCTACAAAACTAACCTATAACCCATCTTTAATTATATACACATACATACAAACTTACATATTATTATAACAGTAACAGACTTGTATCTTTGCTTTCATTTACATTTATTATTATTATAAGCCTTTACCATGCTTAATGCATGTAGCTTGAATTGACTTGCCCATTTTGTAATCTGGACAAAACCATTCAGTACTTTTAGAGAAAATTTCAAAGTAAGTACTGACTGAATAGCAACCAGTGGAGACTGTGATCAGAGGGCAGCAATGTGCTGGCTGATGTTGGTATGCACTGGGTGCAGTAGTAGATTCTGATGACGCCAGCAGTCAAAATGTTAGTATAAAACAATATTAAACAATAATTACTGAAAAACTACTATTTTTTTTAATTAAAATAATCTAACATAATTGACTGAAATTTAATATTTCAAGGCTGATCTACCATTGAATTATACAAGCTTAAAGATATGTATTTTTCCACATATAAATTCAGAAGGGAACCAAATCTCTAAAATAATTCATGTATATTCTCCATAATTAACCATCAACCTACTAGAACCATGTGATTATATTTTTTTACAACCTTTGCCACCAGCATAAAGCCAGGCCAACCTGTACATCCATGCAGTCTGACCAGTCTCTATCTGTTGGTGTTCAATTTTTGATACTGAAATCCTATAAATCTTAAACCAGATTCAAAGCAGGGCAAAACCATTAAACAAACCCACCAGAACAGCAATACATAATGTCAACTGATTATGTTCCAGGGTGAATAAAAATATATGAGTCATCAGACAGGCAATGAACTTTTAATACTATTCTTAATACTTTATACATGTAGTAAAACAAGAGCTATGACATACATGCCATTACTTGACGAACATCTGGGACTGTCCCAGAAATCAGGTGACAGTCACGGAAGCATCCCAGAGATGATTTATGTCCCGGTAAAAACAAAAAATCTGAAATAATCTCTGAAAATTTAAAAACAATTTGATTGCTGATCTGAATGACCCCTGTGAATTGTCCAAGAAAGTAACCAAGAAATTATGGCTTGTACGCCTATGTAAAGTTTCAAAAGAAAAACTTCTCTGAATGTGAAGGTAGAACCCTGGACACTAAAACTTAACCTGAAATTATGGAAGTTATGAAAGGGGAATAACTCCATATAAATCCATGCTAGTGTTATGGGTCCTAGATAGATAGCTATAACTATCACATAAAGACATGTGTGAAGTTTCAAGCAAATAACTTCAGTAGCTATTGGGCTGCTCATAAAAAGCCAATACCAATGTCAGAATGAAAATGATAATTTTCCCATAAATAGTCAAGCTAAAACATAAGATTATAGAGATTCAAGTTTATGAACATTAACAAATATTTCCAAACTAATGTAAAGATTTTGCAAACAGTTAGTTTGCATTATTTCATATTTAGAACAGATTAATTGACCATCTTTAAGATGTAAAGACCTATATATATGCTCTTATTAATTTACAAAATAATTGTGTTTTTGAAAAAGAATGCATCCAAACTATCTGTATGAAAGAAATATGGTGTATAAAATCCATGCACAAAATCATTTCTAAACAGTTAAAACCCTACTTTAAAATAGCATTATGATACATGTACATATGTACTTTTGTTCCAGAACATTTTATTCTTCTGTTTTATGCACAACATTCATGTGTTTGATATTATATGTAACAACTATTCTAAGAATGAAAAAAACTTCTATCATTTATATATTATACTGAACATTTAATTATTTATAGCTTTCATACCCTTTAAATGTCTCTGATATTTTAACATGTGTCCCATTCTGGATTTGCCAGTATTACTCTCCCATATTCATGCATAGGTTAAATATACATGACTGTATATCTTTAGTTTATTGGCAGTAAAGTATTCTATCTTAAGTAAAGTTGCAGAAAATGTCTGGCAGCAAAGAAAGAAATAAAAGAAAAAAAATAACAACTGATAATGAAAAAATAGTATGTCTCTTACATAAAACAGTAAAATATACATGTGCCTTCATATGCAATTAACAAAAAAAATTGGACCTGCCTTAATTGAACAAAAAAAAAACAAACAACAATATAAACAGCTCTCACAAGTTTATGGTCATTATATACTATATTTGGCATTCATTAATAATTGGAAATACGAGAGGGCAAACTTGCAGCTTAATCTTTGCTGTGTTATATATAGATAACTACTTCTGTATATGTTTTTGGTGAATTTTCATAATTTCAAGACATTTGATTATTCAAAATTATCATTTTTTTAAAATGTGTATCGATTATTGATAGGCAGAAAAATATCAACAATACACCGATATTATCTCTATCGATGACAGCTCTAGATGCCATACTGATGCCTGTACATGAAAAAGGCTCAGTGTTGTAAAAGGTCTTTAAGTTAAAACGTATGTATTAATTGGTATTTTCATTTACCAAAGTTGGCATATTCAAAAATTTCACATTAGAACATAAAGTCAAGCTTAGAACTACATCCTTTATTGAAATTTGTATAATTTTTGCGAAACTGAAATACTTCCTTCAAATTTACAAACATTTATTATCCAACAAATCAATGTATCAATTATTGCCTAGCAACAGTTTTAAGCCCATTTTCTATTTACATTTAATTGTATTTTCTCAGATCATAAGTCCTATAGGTCACTTATTTTGGTTGAGTTTTAAGTTGCACCAACACAGTATAGGTCAAACTTTACTGGTGGAGGCAAACCTTAGGTGCCCTTCTGTGCATTATTTCAGGCACCCCAGTACCACTAACTCAAAGACGTAAAATAAACAAATGTTCCTATTTTTCACAAATTCAAATGTCCTCAAATACTTGACATGATTGTAAAGAATCTCCATATTTCACCACCATAAGGGCTACTAAATAATGCTTACAGTTATAACAATTTTGTCATATTACGAATCTCCATTGTGTACTGGGATTTTCCTGTTTTACCACAATTCTTTTTCATTTGCTTAAGACTGGTAATTTTTGACCGAATACTTGTTAACTCCCCTGCTTTAGTAGTTTCATAAGGTGGAATGTCTATCTTTCTTGGATTTTTACTAACATACAATATCACTAAATCAAGCATGTCATTCTTTGCAAAAGCCTCATGTTTTTTTACATGACTACAAGCAACTTTGTATGATGAGAAGGTCTTGCTACAGTAACAGCACAATGTATAAATGTTACAATCATTTCTAGCTTGAAATGGGAAATGATTGGATTGTGTACAGTGATTGTTCAGTTGCTTAAGTTTTCGAAATTCTTGCTTGCAAACTGAACAAACTTTTTTAGAAAATGGTTCTTTAACTGGTTTTCTCCCTACAATATCCGCTATGTGATAATAACCGCCTTTACTTTGGTGGGATCTGATATTGTGATCATCACAAATGAACGGCGTGTCAAACAGTAGATTACATGAAGAGCATGTGGGTACAACTTTTTTGAAATTCGCTCCCTCAAATGTTATGGTTTTTGTATTTTTGAGATACATAATGTTTCCTTGATGGTCAATGAGGTGTGTACTGGCAGAACTATGAACATCATTTACAAGATGCAAATACATTCGATTTCCATCCTTATTCATTTCAGGACAATAGTCACATTTGAAAGTTTCTGTTAAAGTCTCTTCTTGCCCACAATTTATACTATCTTCTGGTGCTGGTTTTGACAACGTATCTATATTACCATCCATTCTTTCTGTGTGGCTTTGATTGTCAAAATTCACATGTTTTTCTATTGTATCGTTTAAAGTCCCATTGCTTATTGTGGTCAAATTTTCACTAGGATTGTAACGTCTTTCTTTCTTATTAGGCTCCATCTCTGTTGTGTTCCCATCATGCTTTCTTTTGCTGTTCCCAGCTTGAGTGCTTGTTCCAGCCAGTGTGCTGGTTCCATGAGGTAGAGTATGACACTCTACATTGTTGTAATGAAATACTGCAAACTTTAGAACACCATCTCTAGACAACTTCCAATGGCCACGCTCATGATGGCTAAGAACCTTTTCATATGATTCGAAACTGGTTTTACAATGGACACAAAAAAAGATTTTCTTAGAATTGTTCATATCTGAAAACGGATAATGATTCCAGTCCTTAATATGGTTCGTCAAAATCTGTTTGCTACTGAAAAACTCGTAGCAATGGCTGCATTTAAAAACATGTATACTATCATCACAAACTTCCTCCTGAATAACTTGTATCAAACCATACCTATCTTTTATTCCATCATTTAATTTCTGATGCTGAAGATTGCAATGTGTTGCACAACTGTGTATATCAGGAAAGACTTTCAGACAGTCAGGGCATACAACTAATACATTTTTGAATTTGGCTTTAAAATTCTGTAAAACCATCTTATTCGTCAGCAACATATTCCCTTCCTTATCTATTGAATATTCACTAGCTGCAAAGTGAATAGCTTTGTTTAAATGTTGCTGTACAATAGACCTGGCATCACTTGCAAAATCACAAAGGTCACATTTGAATGTAGTCTTTTGAACTTTCTGACCATCAGACAGTGAAAACTGGCCAATATTGTTGTTGTCTAAATCATTCGTTTCATTAAATGGGTTTCCACTTCCTATTTTTTCGTTAAAACTGTTTTCAATGACAATCACATCTGGGTCTGCTTCACTATTGATGATTTCTAACCCATCAGATTCAAGATCTAATTCTTTACGTTTTGAATTAATACTCTTTTGCTCTTCTACAATAACACAGCTTGAATCATTACTGTTGTCCTCAATATTGTTTTCTACTGAACCAATAAATGAAGACATTTCCGGTTCTGCTGACGAGGTTACTGTTTGTGTTGGCTGCTTGTATTGATTTTTCCGTTCATTAGTCAGCGTATCTGCACTTAAATCTTCATGATCAAAACCTTCACCTACATTTTCATGTAGCTCTGCATGAGAAAAAGTATTTGAGGCCTCTCCGAAACCGTCATCAAAATAAGTTGCCCCATGAATATTAACGCCCGTCTTCTGCTTAATTCTGTACCAGACGGCAGTATCTTGCATGTGCTCGATATGAAAATGCAGCTCGTCTCTGGCTCTTACAAGTGTAGACCGATCAAATGGACCTTGATAGCTTTGTAGGCTTAACCTTGAAACATTTTGCCTATTTCGGTTTATATTTTCAGAAAAGTTTGGTGTGCTACGCTGGCTGTATTGACCAATTCTACTACTTCCCCATTGGTTTGCCATGACAGCTTTTTTTTCAGTTATCTGAAATTATAGGAAAATGTTTCAATTTACAGGGTAGTAATTGGTATAACACTTCTGGAAAAAATATATTATAATCTGCTATTTCTTCTCTTTATTTAATCTACTCAAGAAAACTGATAGTCCTAGTGAAAGTTAAAAAAGTTCCAAATTTTTTTTTTTAACGCCTGCTCAGAATAATCTGGACAATTTGGATTGGCACCAGTAAGTATATAATTCAAATGGTAAAATGGATGGTTAAACATCTTACACAATTCATTATCTACTTCTAAGCCACTTTGAACCTTGACATACATATTATCAATGCAACAGTGGACATAGTATTGTATGGGCAAAAGTTTAAAATCGATTTTGAGCACTGGTGACCTTGACCAAACTGACCCCTATCTCTATCTAAAAGAAGAATACCATGTAAGTTATCTTCCTACCAAATATGAAATACATCTGTCAATAAATAAAGGCTGTATGGGCAAAAGTGTAAAAATCCATTTTTAGCACTGGTGACCTTGACCCAACTGACCCCTTACTCCATCCAAAGGAAGAATACCATGCAAGTTATCTTCCTACCAAATATGAAATACATCTATCAATAAATAAAAGCTGTATGGGCAAAAGTGTAAAAATCTATTTTTAGCACAAGTGACCTTGACCCACTGATCCCTACCCCAATCAAAAGGATGAATACCATGCAAGTTATCTTCCTACCAAATATAAAATATATCTGTCACTTAATAAAGGCTGTATGAGCAAATGTGTAAAAATCTATTTTTAGCACTGGTGACCTTGACCCAACTGACCACTAACTTCATCAAAGTTTATGTTTCTATCAATCATAAATAACATCTGTCTATAGAATAAGGTCAATACACCTGTAAAAATTTATTTTTAACATTGGTGACCTTGACAGTGGTAACATTGACCTTGACCCAAATGACCCCTTACTACACCCAAAGAAGGAGGACCTCCCTTGGCATGTTTGTATTAAACTAAGACATCAACTAAAAAATAAAGGCTGTATGAGCAAAAATGTTTATATTTATATTTTAAACCAGTGACCTTGACCTTGACCCTAGAGACCGCTTTCTCCACAAAAAATTAGAGGACCATCAAAGGTATCCACCTACTAAGATATCATTAAAGAAATTAAGCAATAAGGAGAAATTTAAGATAAATCCAACTTGCCGAAATAGGTTAACCAGACAAGACCCTATTTTCAAAGAGTAAAAAGGGAAATAACTGGGAAATATGGATGACACAGTTATATAACTTGGCAATATCATGTACTTTGTATTGATAAGTAAGTGTGGAAATTATAAAGCCATTAGTATAGATAGAACTTAAGATATTTCCAACTTGCCGTTTTAGGTTAACCATTATTCATTTTCTAAGTGCTGAAAAGGACAATAACTTGGTAAATATGAAAGCCAGAGTTATGTAACTTGCCCAGATCATGTACTTTGTATTGATTAGTAAGTGTGTAAACTTAGAAGCCATTGGTACAGGTAGAACTTAAGAAAAATCCAACTAGCCGTTCTAGGTTAACCTCGTACGGACAGACAGACGGACAGTTCAATTACTATATGCCCGGGGGCATAAAAACAATGCAAAATAGTGATTTTTGGCAATTTTGAGACGTCCCCTCATTGCCATGGTAACAGGAAATTTACCATTGAGCATGCTGTTACAGAGGCTATGGTGTAGTCAACATTTGTGCCAAGTTGTATTAGTATTGAAGCATTTTTCATAGTTTCATAGCAGTTTGAACTTGTTACAGGAGGCTTTTCAATGAAAACGGCCATTTTTGGCAATATGCTCATGGGGTAAAAGGTTAAAGAAATGTGGTATGTTTTTCTTTAAAGAATCATGCTATCAATAAGATTATTCATGATCACTCTACCCCTTACATCTTAATCCCTGCTTCACTTCTAATCCTAAGATTGTATGTTGATTAAAACTCTATTTTTAACAGTGAATGATTTTGAACATTTTGCTGTATTTATTCTATATGCTATATAAGCTATCATCAGACCAGCTAGCTTTGGGAAGGTTGGTGATTCTAGTTGGGTGCCTGCTCAGTGCTGGTGTCTGAAATGATGCATGGAGGAGCAAGGAAAGGTCTTCCTCCATCAGTAATGCATGAAAGTCGCCTTATAACTTTTATGGTTTTGTTGGTATGACGTGAAACCTAACAAACTTGCTTATAAGTTAGATCCTGAAGTCATAATGTAAAGTATTGAATACTGGTATATTAAGTATATAGTGAGATGAATTTGCAAGCAAGAAAAAGTACATGTATGTCAACGCCAATGTTGAGGAAGTATGATAGTCCTACTATTCTTACAGGTTAGGTAAATACAAATACCAAACTTTGGTTACTTTCTTGGAAGTAATAACCTTGAAAAAGAGTATATTGAGGGCTTAGTACGGACGTGTTGTAACCCATATGACATAAAGAACAAGTTACAACCCATTCGCACCAAGCAGTTGATATTCACTTTACATTATTTAAGGCTTATGTCATTGATAATTATCAGAATGACTATGGGGACCAACAAAAAAACCAAACATACAAATATAAGATGTTTTTGTTGTATTTTTTCCCTGCACCAATAAAATGTTGATTCATCCAAAGGATACAATTCTAAAACATTCACACTCTTTACACACTGTTCTTACATAATCAGCCACAATTATCATTTTATAATAAGAAAAAAATGTTAAAAGAAATTTCTTGCAACAAACAATAGGATATTTATTTAAGACCTGACAAAAAGTAACTGACTACTGTTAACCACTCCTTTCATTTACAGTCCCTTTATTTAGGCTATGTGTAGTTTTTCTAACCACTTTCTACATCTCCTGATGATAACCATTCATTTAAGTTAGAATGGCTAAAAGTTTATGTTTGGCTTTCCGAAGAGCTCTCTTTTTCAACTGTTTAGCTTTTTTCTCACACATTGTCTTTGATTCCAATTCCTGTATTGAGTTCTTTAAAGTTTTGATTTTCTCTTCACGCTCCTTTTCATTTTTTGAAAACTTCGGAGGCAGTTCACGTAATTCTCTTTCACTGTCTAAATACAACACTGACAATTTAAACTGGTGGTCGTCCTTAGCGTAAATATGTGTCTTAGCATGATGCAATGAGTCTTTTAACCTGGAAAAAGTTTTTGGGCAGGTTGCGCATTTAAAGAATATATCACAGCCTTCCTTTGATGAAAAAGGCATGTGCTGTTCTTTATAGTGTGTTAATAAAGGCTTTGTCTTGTCCCATGATAATCCACACACTATACACTTCTTGACAGACAGTTTCAACACAACTTCCTCTCTTACTGTAACTATGCCATAACAAGGTTTACATTTCATTACAGCATGGTGAAAAACCACATCATGTTCAATGTTTTCTTTTACACTTTTGAACAGAATATGACAATTTTTAGTACAAGTTGCGTAAAGTTTTTGATGACTACGACCAACACGTGACATTGAACTTAGCCTTTTGATATACTTAACGTTCTTATCACTATCAATTAAAACAGAACTTGCTGATGAATGACATCTTTCGTTTAGATGAGACATGATCTGTTTCTCGGAATCAGTCAGTTCTTGGCAGTAGTCACAACTGAATACATCTTTCAGAGTTTCTTGTTGGACACTACTCCCTGTCTGTAAAGATATATCCATGCCTGATGCTTTTGCCTCGACCAAAATATTGCTTACTGAATCGCATGAATCTGTACCTGTTAGAGTTTGTTTATGCCTAGCAACCTGCTGTTCATCTTTAGCAACCTGCAATTTATCAGTTTCATTATCAAGGGCTACTTCACGACTCGAACTTTCCATCTTTCTTGTAATTTTAAGATTCGGCTCATTACTTGAAAATGTCAGATCATGTGCGCGCTTTCCGGAACCTACTGTAGCATCAGAATCACCACCTATCTTATTTATTGTGCCAGTATGTGATATATGAAACTTTCTTACATTATCAATCTGAAAGATATTAAAGGTTGAAACTTCATGCATAGAAGGTTTATGTTTTCGTAAATGAGAAATGACTTCATCTATCCATGAATAACTTTTCTCACAATCTATACAAAAAAGTATGAATTTATTTTTGCACTTTGAGAAACTATCTCTTAATGGTAGGTGTTTCTCTATGAGATGCTTTTTCATATGGCTTTTGGACCTAAGCTCCAAGGAACACAGCTGGCATTTCGGAGGTTTTAACACTATACTGCACTCGTCCACCTTCACAATATCAGCCAAGGCGAATTGACTTCTTGGTGCTCCCATTTTCCAATGCTTCTCATTGTAATGTGATATGCATTGGCTCATTTCATGAAAAATGGTACAGCAAATGTTGCTAGGACATTTCATCACTGCTGTTTTGAATTTAGCTTTTTCATTTTTAGAAATCATTTTCTCTTTAAGTACGACTTCTCCTGCATTATCAATGTCACATCTACTAGCGGAATAATGCATAACACTTTGCAGATGCTCTTCAATATCATTTAAATCTGTACATCTATAATCGCAAAAATCACATTTCAGAATCTGCTGCACTGACTGCTTTGAAGTTATTTGTGTTTTATAAGTTTCATTTACAATTTCACCAGAAATCCCATCTTCGATATACTGTTCTAAAGTTCTATTTTCATTGCCACCTTTACTGTTTATCTTTGTAAACTCTGTAATATTTTCATCAATGTTCCTTCTTATTCCACGTTGTTCTAAAGTTTTCTTTTCATGCCCATCTTTTGCATATGATTCTCCCAAAAACAAATCTTTCTTCACAACTTTAGAACAATCTGAACGTTCTGTACTTTGTCTTTGTACATTAACTTTTATAGTTATTTTTTCCATTTCCTTCCAGTTTATTTTTTTCTCAATGTAATTTTTGTCATCACTAATATTCTGATCATAGGCAGATGATGAACATGGAATTTCTGTCTTTTCCTGCGTATCAACTGTTCCTGAAATATATGACGATTCGTTCTTTTCTTCAGGATGGTCATGGCAAGGTTCGATAAATTCTTCTGTTTCAGGAAGTCCGGAATGAGAGTATACATTTGATGCTGCTCCGAATCCATCATCTGAATCTGTAACACCATTTACATTTATAGGTGTTTTCATCTGAATTCTCCTCCAAGCTGTTGTGCTCTGCACTTGTTCTACATGATACAATAATGTAGCATGTGCGCTAAGAAGGGCTGATCTGTTATAAGGTCCATCGTAATTTCTAAGGCTTAATGGAAGAGTTGGCTGGGTCAAACCTCTCCGGTTTTCATATTCACTCTTGCCCCTATTTTTAGCCATGTTGAAATTTACCTGTAAAATAAAAACAACCAATATAACAGGTTATACTTTTTTTTAAAATGCCAAGAAAAACTACTGAACAAAACACGAGATCAAATGATTCATAATATTATAATATTCTACATAATATTAAATAACAATTAACTATTCATTCTTTAAACAGGAAATGATTTGTCAAATATTTTCAATTCAGTAAAATATAACTGCATGTACTTGAGACCACAACTTTCCAGTTTTCCTGAAGGATTGGAAAAAACATGAACCGTAGCACATTTTATGCAACAAAAGATCAGCACAAATTTATATAAGACTACCAACCTTGGACCCAAATTTAATGATCTATGTGCTTATTATATTGAATGTGTCAGTATAACTGTAGCCTCCAGATTAGCCTTACAGATAAAGAAAATCAAACTTGAAAAAAAATGTACTGAGACTTAAAGAATAGCAAAGAGATTCAATATTCAATTACATGTTATGTGCGAATAATGAATGATTTTGCAGCCAGGGTGGTAAGGTCAAGGGTTAAAAGATTTTGAGGTACAATAGCTAGGAGCTAATTGTCACAGTGAGTCATTAATGGGTAAACTTGAGGTGTTGTGAAACCTTACTTACTGTACTCATGTGGCATACAACTTTGGCCCAAGTCCAAGACACCCAACTCTTTCTTCAAGCCTGAAAACATTATATATGACATGGTCAAACAAGTGTTAACAAAATTTGATTATGTTTTAAAACCAAGAGCGAACACTTCAATTTCATAATACATATATTAACAAAATTCAAAGTGTACATGTACTGGTATCAAAACAGTTTCCGTCCACCAGAATAACATAATATTAATAGAGGTTTTTGAAACTTCTGAAAGTCTTGTTAACACAATAGTAATAAAACATATCATCATCTGTATCATCATACAGAGAATAGTTAAAAAGAAGACTTTCGCCAAAAAAGTGAAAATATAATGTATAGAATATACAGTTAAACTTTGTTCGCTCAAACTCGGATCGCACAATACCCTTCGTCCAAACTCATCACCCAGTCCCGGCAAAATTCCTAGATAATATATATTGTTCTACTTCAGTTTGCTCGAACACCTCACGCTTGAACCTGATCTATGGGCAGAAATAAAGTTAAAATCACACCTTTTCGGTCGAAAACAAAAAACAAAAGTTTTGTGTCGACATGTTCTAAATAAGTAACAGTCAGCGACACGTGCTTTTAACACCTCATGATTGTGATAAGGCAATTTAGGTTAATTGATACAAAATTTGAGATTTTGTTACCAATTGGTTTGTTATGATAATATTGTTTATTTGCCGTCTTTAGAAATGATAAAAAGAAAATAACCCGTGAAATAAGTAAAATGTGCAAGTCAATAAAAAGATGACATTTACATATGTACCAGGATGGCTTTTATTACAGCCGTGGTGCATGTAACGTGAATATCTATAGAATGATACTTGTATGTGTGTTTATTTTAGCAAATGACTACAAATAAATACTGCTGTTAATTTTTTGTTTTAAATATTTAATTAATTCATTGTTTAAAATTAATTTTATCCCATAATAAACATATAAATATATTTTGAACATTGTTCAACAAGATTGGAAAATGATTGCCCAATCGAACTCAACCATTTACAATATGCAAGAATATAGATCACACACAGTGAGTTAATACTCATTTGAAAACCGAACACTGGGATAATATTTCTTATTATTTAAAAGAAATGGCGTATCCCACGAACTGATGTACTAGCAAACAATTATATTGACGTATTTATCATTCGACCGATGTAAGATGGAAAAAGTTTAGGCCTATGTCCTACGTGATAATAGTTCAACCTCTGTTGGCTCGAACTACCAATCTCTCGAACAAATTGGCACAGACCCTACGAGTTTGAGCGAACAAAGTTCGACTGTACATTTGTTGATTATTTTATCTTGTTGGCATTTCTCTATATACTTCCACTCCAGTTTGTTGAATCAAACAAAGATAATGCTGAAATAAATCATAATTAAGTTAATAATTGTTTTAGTTACATACATGTAAATAAGAAAAAGTTCTCATTGAAAATTCATTATTTTACATCCTGAAAACAAGCTATGTTCTAGGACATGTCATGTTGCTCTAACTGTACACTAACATCTTCATATCTTGACAAAGCATATGCTTTTAACTGAAGTTGATTTGTTTCAGCAATTTTTAGTATAAACATTAACTTTTTTTCCTTGTTTTTTTTTGTTTGTTTTTTAAGGGAACTGCTTTGATACCAGTAAATAAACTATCCAACAAAAAGTTGAAGTATTAAATTAACACATACCATTTCTTTCTGGTGTCAATCTAGAATTAGTAGAGATATACACTTTTCTGGAAATGGAACATTATATCTTTTTGTTCATATATACATGAATCTTTGAAGCTATGTAGCATAAATTACTTTTTTCATCTGTTTGTTGTGTAGTCTGATTTTTGTAAATCAAAACGGACCATCATTTTTGCGTCAAACTCTGACAGGTATGTGTACCACCTGAATTTTTGCATCTGACTTCAAGTTTCGAAAAAATACCGCAGACACTACTTTTAGCTGTAGATTTTTAATTCTATCAAAATTTTCCAAGCTTGTCTGACATTCTATTGGATGATACAATTCTGTTATGAAATTGACCATGTTTTGTTCCCTATGTACTATTCATTACTGAATGTTGGCAAGCAATCTTTCCCTAGACTAGTAAATTGTTAAAAATCAGTGTTTTTTTCACTTTAAGGGGAATGGTGGCAGTGCCCATGGCGAGGGGAAAGTTGCTTAAAGAGGGGAAATTTTAGGAAGGACATTCAGAAATGGAATAAACAGCCCATTTTGAATTAAATTGTGATTTAATACCATTATTTTTTTCACACTACAATTTCTCTGTCTAACTTTAGTGATAAAATAGATGCATTTAAGAAATAGAGAAAAACATATACTTTTTGGGGTTTGGGGGAGGGGTAGGGATTTCAAACCCAAAATGGCCCTTTAAAAGCACTGCAAGCTAATACCAATATCACATACATACATAATTATTTCATAAAATCAAAAATGATATCAAGGTATGCCTATGAATAGAGAAGTCAGAAAAAAAATGTTCATTTTAATTTTACAATTTTCGTTTTTAAGGTGCCATTCGGTATTTCATATACCGCTTCTGTTTTCAATCGGAACACCTCAAATATTTTTCTTAAGCCAAAAAGTTGTGACTGTAAAACGTTATTGGAATACCCCGGCAATTATCATTGAGTTACACTGAAAATGGCGGCGCCCAACTTAGTAGAACTGACACTGAAAAATTCATTGATAGGAATAGAATTCAATATTTTCTTAAGTGTTTCTTATTTGATTTCCTTTTAAATGTACACCTGTAGTCTATAGCCAGCCAAGCAAAAGCCCGGGACTTCTCCATATTACATTTTAGCTGGTTTACTGATATGCATTTGTGGTTCCAACAAACCATGAAAGGGTTCATACAGACATCCAATGCCAAAATTCAAGGACTTTTTCAGCACTATTTAAGCATGTATTCCCATTTTTAAGCACATTTGTTGCACATATATCGACACAATATTCAACCTAAGAAGGATAGTTTATTCACCATTTTTTCTTGAATTATACACAATTTCTGGCCAAATTAAGGTTTTATAAAGTAAGTAAGTAAGTAAGTAAGTTAAGGCTTTATTTATTGAGGCTACACATTTGGTTACCCAATCTTCCATGTGGGCCTCTAAGAAAAACATAATTTACAATATATACAACTACAATATTACAGAAATAATTGCAACAACATTGTGGTACAATGTACATTGAAATTGTCAGAACTAGAAATACATGTTAAAGATTTACAGTCCATTCATAGCATAATACATGTCAAAGAAGTACATATCAAATAAAACAAAGTGGGAAATATGTTTTAGTTGGTACATCAAATGATAAGGTTCTAATTTTGTTATAAAATGATTAATTTAATGATGAAAAATGCCAGGATAGATATGAAGCTTGAAATTCCTGAACTGTTTTAGATTTTCTTATGTTAAGAGGGATATTATTCCATAATTTAGGGCCAGAGTATACTAGGGATTTTCTGAAAAATTCTTTCTTAGGTCGTGGAACAGCTAGGTCTGAACTATTTGTTGCGCTCATGTTTTTGGTAAACAAATTGGAATTTACTTTGCATGTATTGTGGATATGGTATGTCATTGATAGATTTAAACATTATGATTGCTTTTTTGTATATCATTCTGTCATCAAATCTCATCCAATTTAGTTCTTTAAACAAATCACTGGAGGGTGCATCGTAACTTTTATCTAGAATTATTCTTGCTGCTCTTTTTTGGAATTTTATGATTTCATTGAACAACAAAGGGTGCATCAAATACAAATTAGTTCAAAACAAGTGCAATTTGTCCACTTACTGTTACCTTGAGCAAACATTTCATTGATTTTGATACTAAATTGGATAAAAAAAATTTATTTTGTTAACTGTTGATTTTTATCGACATTATGTCATTCAATCATTTTCAAGCATATTGTCAGAAAATTTAAGCACTTTTCAAGACAGTATTCAAATTCAAAGACTTTTAAGCACTATTTTACATTTTTAAGCACTTTTTAAGACAGGGACTCAAATTTAAGCACTTTTTAAGACTGTATGAACCCTGCATGAGTTAGTGTTTTAAAATGGAACATAAAAGCAATTGGAAGCTATTATTCATTATAACTTCAGTCTTCTGACTTAACTACAGAATGAAATTAGTTTTACCATGTGGTTTTAGGTATAAATAAAAACACTTTTAGGTATAAATAAAAACAGAGAGTGTAATCTTTGATAATGTATAACAAATGTATATATTTGACATTCAAAGGAAAATGAAGTCTATTTTGGTAAAAATATGTCTGACAATCATTTTTTTTCATTATCAATTCAAAAATGCCCACTGATGTAGAAATATAAACAAATCCGAATTAAATAAATATAAACAGGAAGACATTCTGTACTTTCGGTTTCTACAAGCTTAATAAGATAATAATGTTCTGTTTACTTATGTATCAATAAATTTTCTAAAGAGGGAATTTTACTTGATATATTGGAAGAATCTTAGTCAATAACTCTAGCATTTAATTACTATTTGTTTACAATTGTTTAGTTTCTTAGAATACATGTATGTTAGATCAAAATACCGTATCCGTTCTGTGTATTCTTACTTTTTGTGTTCAAGGTCCTTACCCGAAATTTCAAAGAATGGATTAAGAAGTAGCTATGTATAAAAACATGCAGATTTAAAACTTTTTGTTGAAAACATTCTTTTACCTGGTAGATCTATTTTAGGCTATTTATTTGATAAGGAAAATTGAGACTAGTATTGGTAGGTTACAAGATAGTTCTGGCTTCCAAAACTTTATAAGCCGCTTTTTAATATTTAAATTGTTTTTCATCTGATGCCGCATTATGTCAATTGTCATACTATATAAACGGGTACGCTGAAGACCTTAAGCTAGGTACAAAAACGCAGTTCCAGTGAGTGAGTGATTGCTCTAAATGTTAAATGATAGTGTATATTACAAAACCATGGACTTTTAATGCAAGTAGGATACATGGTCATGGGTACATAATTTTTTTTGAGTTAGGGCTTTGGCCTAGATCATAGGGACCCGGCAGTGTTGGGATAGTGTAAAAAAGTAATTCTAGAAAAAAAATTATAGTTTATATGTAAAATATTATATATAAACTATGTTTTTTTTTCTAGGATTACTTTTTTTACACTATCCAAACACTGTGCCGGGTCCCTTTGGCCTGGATAAAATATCAATCAGTTGTCAATAGCCGCAATCCAGTCAACCTGTCCCGTGGTCAACTCGTCCCTTGGTCAACTCATCACCTTTTTGGTCAACTCATCCCCTACTTTTGATCAACTCGTCACTATCATGTTATAAATCAATGTCTTTAAATAGATCTTTAATGTAAAATCTTAATGAATTTGATTGAAATCGATTTAAAATAACGTCTTTTGTATTTGCATTTTAATTTTCTTTATCTAAGCGCACGTGCATAGCTTTGATGTAAAACTACAAAGACAGGTAAGTTTGAAAACATTTAATCAAGTACAACTTGAATGTTTTATTAATCGGAGTTTTAATGATAATTAAAACTACAATATTGTCAATCTCTTTGATTTTTACCGCATCCCTGAATGGATTAAAGACTGACGACAGATTAACAGAAATTAGGAGTGCTAAAAACTTCATGTCGGTGCGTATTGATCTCATTATTGAAAGATCGTGTCAATTAAAAACATGATAATTGTTATACATACATGCTTTTTGGAAGAGTTAGTATTTATTTTATTTTATTCTTTTCTATTTTCTATTTTTTAAATAAAAAATCCGTACAATGATATTTGCAGTAGACATTAACTGATTGGAAACATTTAGCGATAAAATAATTACCAAATATTCAATTACCATGTAATAATTAGTAAAGATTAATATTAAATTTCCATAAATAAATCTTTACACTGATCTCAAAGAAGAGCTGCAATAAACCGAGTTCTAGAATTTCTTGTATAATACAAGTCAACGTATTGAATTAATCAACCTTTTTCATATATTTGACCATACACCATCAAAAACAAATTCGACATTTAATTGGAGAATAAAAACTTATAAATAACAACCTTTTGCACGATTTTCACGCGATTTGTATAATTTCAATTTAAAGACATGCGTTCTTTAAATATCTAAATACGTATCCAACCACATTATTCATGTGTTGTTAACGTTATTATCAAATTTCTAGGTGTTTAATTTGGTAACAAACGGCATGTGTCATGATATATTTAATTAACAACTACATTTAATTAATAAAAAAATGTTTTGTTAAATGGAAAAGCGGAAAATATTGAATAATTTGAAACCGTCTCGTTTACTTACAATATTTTTTTTTTCACAATATAAATATATTCTAAATGTCTGTACCATAATAAAATACTGATTGTAATTAAGTTGAATTTTGTAACTTTGTAGATTAAGGTAGACAACTGAATGAAAACATTATATTAAGGGTATAACGATCGCCGACAATAGGTCAGCTGTGAGGGGTGACCGGGAGATTGCTTTCATTTGTCAGCCATGTAGTGCCACTGTTAGAGAAGAGCCTGCCGATGAATCTCAGACTCACCAACTGTGGGACCGATACAGAAATGGGGAATTGCCTTCCACAGGTCTTCTGAGAGAATTCAGAACCCCAAGAGTCATAAAATATCAAAAAACAAAAACAAACAATAAAATACGTACATGAAAAAACAAAACAATGAAAGTTAATATATTTGAAATAATTTTTAAAAAAAAGACATGTAGACTCGTCGGACCTATGCTCGCCCAATAAAGGCAATTATTTGAATACTATTTAATACACTTTGACTTTAAAAAAACTTTTTCGAATTTGTTTTATAGCTGGTCATATTTGGTACGTAATGTGACCCATTTAAAACATAAACACTTACATCCGGGTACTGTCTGCTAGGTCAAACACCACCAAATTAATATTCTGAAATGTTGAAGGGAGGATACCCATGCTCGCCCACCGGTATATTACGAATATAAAACGGATATTACCTGGAATCATTCATCATATTTTTAGACTGATTTGTTAATATAAAGCAGGTATTTATATTTTGCATTATAATTATATTTATTCAGAGAAAATCTTATTTAGATATACTTACTATGTAGACTTTTCATTTTTTCAAAAGATAGTCAACTGCTGTTGGTAGAGTGTGACTAAAAAGTTTCTGTGACTAAATATCATGTACATAAGTTTTTTCAATTTCAAAAAGTAAACTAGAAACATAACCTAGAACAAAAACAACAGTGTGTGGTCTACAGTTTCAACAATTACTCCTCTGTACAATATCTACAAAACCACCTTGTGCTGGTAACTAAACTCAGATCTACATCTGTTTGCACATTAGATGGCAAGCACTCATAGTGGCACCACTTGTCATATCCCTCTTTTAAAAGCTTTCTAGCCTTTTTCAAATGTCTCAGGATCATGAATTTTTGTTGCCTGGGCATACTGGGCATACTGATCACTCTGAAGAGGATATGGGAAAAATTAGTGGTGTAAATACCTAGGTTATTTTTAGTAACTTCTGATAAAAAAAACGAAAAAAGTAATTAATTTTTTATTTAAAGCTGCAGTCTTCGTTAATCATCAACTAAGTTATTAATAAATCAATGTCTAACCAAAAAATACATCATAAATGCACCAAAAGTGACAGATTTTAATGGAGAAAGCGGACTATTGTGGCGGCCCTGGAAATTGCATGTACAAAAACAATATGACAGCTGGTGTCAATACCAGTTTACGACTGTTTTAAATATATCGGAACAACTTAAACTTTACAAAAAGTAAGAACAATGTTTAATTGTTATTTTAAGTTGATTTTTATTAAGATTTTATTAAAAAGTCACACATGATTCGTTGTTTTTATTAGCATCACGGACTTTCATTTGTACTTAGGTTTTCGTTTTCGTCTGCTTTATTATGCTAAGAACTTCCGTTAAACTCTTCAAAAACAAGGTGAGAAACTAGGACACTTGCAGCATCAAGAAACAACAACACATGATTCAGATAATATGTTTATTCATAAGTTTATATCATAAAAATTAAAATCTGGGCGAGCATGCGCCTGGGCGAGCATAGGTCAGGTGAGTCTATGATATTTCATCATCATGATCATTGCATATGAAACATATTCGCATACGAAAAGCGTAAAAAATATCCAATTCAATAATTTTATCTAAAGTTTTTTAAGTAATTTTAAATAATTTATGAAATATATGAAAAACAATAATAATAAAATATAGGGGACGAGTTGACCACGGGACGAGTTGACCACAGGACGAGTTGACCACGGGACGAGTTGACTTTGAATCTTATAGCCTACATAGCCTGATAAATTTCAGCAGTTCACATACGATATTTGGGAGAACATGTCAGTAAAAACAATATTAGTAACAGGTCCTTACTAGCTATTTAATTCAAAATATATGAGCAAACATCTCGAGAAATTTTCAACTGAAGTCGTGCATTTCGTGAACTGAGGCGAGGGGTTTTCCTAGGCAAGCGCCTCATGACATTGATTCAGGGGAAGTTACTCACGCAACAGTATGTAAAATTGTAGCCGGTAGCCAATTTAAAAAAAAAATCCCAAGTTTAATACATTGGTTTCGCCCGTTCGTTATTATGAGTTGTTTCCGGCAGAAGACTAAAAGTTCATCAGGTTGGGTTAAATTTTTTTCAATTCATAATTTATAAAATTTTCGGACACTTTTTTTTGCGGATTTTAAACGGAGTAGAAAAAATTTAAAATAAATGTGCTTTTGGGGTATTTGATATAATAAAATTTTTAAAAATTTATTAAAGTTGTCTATGTACTACTAATTTTGTATGGTCATTTCTCTTTTGCTTCAATATATGTCATTTGTAACCCCAGATTCTAGTTTGGTGCGGTGTTAGGGAAACAGGACGTTTCGGCCCCAAACCAAATCGGCCCCAGTCGAAAAATCGGCCCCTGGACGTTTCGGCCCTTTTCCACGAGACGTCTCGGCCCCACTATAGTATATTGCTTGCTTGATTAACGAAATACAATTAAACAATTTTGACACTTTAATTCTTTAAATAATTATTTATTATCTTTAGCCGCCTCCGTGGTCGAGGGGTTAGAGTCGATGACTTCTAATCCAGTTACCTCTCTGCAGTCTCTGGCGTGGGTTTGATCCCTGGGAGATGCTTTGGTAGTTTAGCGCGGAGGAAGGTAGTCTAGTACTGATGTAACTCTCCAGGAACGATGGTTAGGAAACTACCCGCCTATATGACTGAAATACTGTTGGAAAAAGGCGTAAAATGAAACAAACAAACAAACAAAATTTATTATCTTTTGATCTCTTGAACCATTTAGATGTACGTTAATGTTTTTAAAGGTGTAACAAACAATAAAGGCAGGTTACTTAATTTATAAAACAAACCACTAAAACTTCTGGATTAAGAATGTTAATTACAATTATTACTTAGAAAACATTATCTTTTGATCTTAATTAAACTATACGTAATTTTTTCAAGGTGTTACTGATTAACTGTTTATAGCTTTATGCTAATTGGCGGTAAGTAATATCAGAGAAAACTTCAAAAGATATGAAAAAACGGTTTGCTATAATCTCATGATAATATTTTTAATTATTATTGCTATTAGATAATGATAGATCAAGTAAAGTTGTTTAATTGTAAAATTGCAAAAATGTTATTTATAAAAAAAGTGTCTGTTTACATTTGTTTCGTTGCAAGTAAAATTGTTTAACTGTACGTTCTGTACTTGTATTTTCGTATCCATCAAACTCGTCACCGTTCAATAGTTGTTGATGATAATTTAATGTCTCTCTCATGTGTTGTTTTGTGTCTTGCTTCTTAATCTTTCAAATAAAATATTATCTTTATATGTTGTAAATAATTGTTTGTTTGTGTATTATACTTTTTTAAATAAAGTTTATGTTCTGTTCTGTTTGTATTAATAAAATATTATCTATATATGTTGTAAATAATTGTTTGTTTGTGTATTATATTTTTTCAAATAAAGTTTATGTTCTGTTCTGTTTGTATTGATTACATTTCCCCTACTACTATTATTATCTAGTTTTTATACAAAATGATTAAATATATATATTAATTGATTCATTTAATCATTGAAATGCTATAAATATATCGGTTTAAAATACAGTACATATTCTGGGGCCGATTTGGTAAAGGGCCGAAACGTCCGGGGCCGAAACGTCTTGGGTAGTTTGGGGCCGATACGTCTTGGGGCCGAAACGTCTCGAAATCGGTGTTAGACTGCTAGTTACATGGAAATTTGGAGGTTAATGTGCCATTTTTGGAGGTTACGTACCACTATAGAAATATATAATAAAGTGATAATAAGGGATAAGGTGTGAAACTATCAGGTTTATTGTTCAAATTTGCGCATTAATTGTATTTTGTAATGAGATTAAATATGTATGACTATGAATATATAAGAATAAACAACAAACCACAATTAACGATAATAAACTGAAATTAACTGAAATAAACAAAATAATCAATAGCAATAATAATATTTCATATGCATGTTAATATACCGGACAAAATTACTTACCTTGGATAAAAAAAAATAAACAAGCGTTACATATTTTATCATTTATAATTATACATTACATTAAGTTTTATTTACACGTTAACTGAACTGTGCATAAAATGAAAATAACAATAATTATGTTACACGCTCTGAAATGAAACAACAATACACAATTAACAAGTATTTTTTAAAAAAAAATTGAGTTTTATTTATACGCACTTAACTGAAATAAACAAGACAAAATAATTGATAACAGTACATATGCAGGTTACGTTTTATTTACAGACTCATATTTACAAACAAGTCAATTTATATATTTTTCAGCATTGTGATAAATAAATAATACCACACTGATAAAATCAGTGTATTCACTCATATGTCAATAGTTTGCAATTTGTTTGTGATTTGTTAGATTACTCATTTCTGAATGTGTGATAATCATACATAGATATAGGTAAAACGTTTGCATTTATATTAATTGCTCTTATGTGATTTTTAAAAAGTAATATTAAAGTTATAATTCGGTCTTTTTTTATAATTGTTATGCTCTATATTATTTGTATTTATATAAATTATATATGTGGTACGTATTATCCAAAAATGGTACGTAACCTCCTGGTACGTATCCTCCGTGGTACGTAACCTCCAGTAATCATTACATGTATCATTAGCTAGATTATTTGAAGAATATGGAGAGCTATTGTTCTCACCCAGTTGTCTGTGTCAGCATTATAATTTGGTTAAGTTATTGAGTGCAAGTTGATACATGTTTCTCTAGAAGTACTGAAAGGAATTGGTTGAAACTTCACAAACTTGTTTGAGACACTGACAAAGGCCCAAAACTCTAACATACATTTTGACATTGTTATGGCAGAAGATTGTTATGGCAGAAGAAATCATCCTCTTCCTTTAGCTTCTGCTAGTTGAATTTTTTTTATGTAGTTGTAAACAATTTCTTTTGTCAAAAATACATAAATGGAAGACCTTCAGACAATGTTATCAATAGATTTGTTACAATTTAATTTGTATAAATTTATCTTGCTATTGGTCCTTTTAGAATTATTTATTAAATTGATACTGATGAAATTCGTCTTGCGGTATCTTGACATTCTACTATTAACTGTAATTTTAATAATGTTTTCGCATATAAATTCTTAACATAAGACATGTACATTTATGATTTAAAATACATTTTACAAAGTTTAATTACTGTGTTTTGTATAGGTTTGTGAGGAATTCAAGGAAAACTCACCGTATTGTATACAATATGGACTGTTGTTAGCTGGAAGGGAATATCCTCACATCATACAACACTTTGGACTGCAATTGCTGCAACATGCCATAAGGTATGTTCATTAAACTTTACCCTGTAAAAATATATATACATAAAATCTTACCTAGTTACTGTATTTGAAATTATTTGTTGTTGATAAAAGAAATACTTATGGCATATAGAGTGTTGTCAATTAATTTGAAATAAAAGATACTTCAAGAATAATGACACATAATTTTATCAGTGTTTTCTAAAATAGTTTCATACAAAGTTTTATCTTGTGTTTGCATACAAAGTTTTATCATGTTTTCATACAAAGTTACACCATGTTTTCGTACAAAGTTATATCATGTTTTTTTTCCATCTAAGTTTAATCATGTTTTCATAATTATGATGATTGTTAAATTCTATTGTATGCTATTGAAATAAATAATGAAAAATATAATATACATGTATACATGAACATGCATCATATGTTGGTTTAACAAATTTCATTCAAAATTTAAGTTTGAAATAGGAGGATGGAATTGTTGGTGTTTCTTTCAGTATAATAGACTAACAGTTCTATGTATGTCACAAATTAAATTTGTTTTCTAGGTACAGATGGACTAGACTAACACAAGATGAAAAGAATCTGTTGAAAACCAGCTCCTTGACTCTCATTGAAAAAGTAGGACATTTTAATTGTTATTTCAATGCAGATATTGATATATTTTATTTTAGAAATTCCTAAATCCTACACTTAACCAGGCCAGTTCAACATGTGGGAAACTTTTCACATGTAGGGATCTTTGAGATTTATGTGTTTTTGTCATTGGAAAAGCAAATTTTTCCCATTATGATTGTGATGATGTAATGTTTGATACCATTTTAACTGAAGTGTTTTTTTTTAAATGTTTTAAGTGGTGAAGTTTGTCAATTATATGTGAAAAAGGCAAGTAGTGGTACAGAATCATAGAATACTTGTTACATGTAGATCACTTCTCATAGTGCGTAATGTTCATAGTTTAATTGTAACTAAATCCTGTAAAAAAGGGAAATAGCATGTTAAATTTGCTCGTTTTGCATATACATATAGCTTTGTTTAATTCTAGAAAATAATACCCTTTACTTACGAATATAAGTAAAAAGTAATTTCCTTATTTTGATATCAATGTTTATGTTTGTTTTAACTAGGGAACATCAGGAATTCTGGAAGAAGAGCCACATATAAAAGATGCTGTTTCTCGTATTGTTTTGGAAATATTAAAACATGATTGGCCAAACTTGTGGCCAACATTGATGCAAGATCTATATAGGCTATGTTTACATGGGGTAAATATCAGGTTATTTATGATTTACCAAATTTATATGACAAGGTCTTGTTTTATATATGGCAGTTGTATAGCACATGCATGTTCTTGTGACTAAATAAAGTTCAGATTGACTTATTGTGAGCAAACTTTGTATATCACAAGCTTATGCACTGACCTTTCATGGGATTGCTTTTGGGCCATAGGGGTCTTGGTCAAGGTCACTTTCTTAAAAATAAAATATGCAGTCATCAATGGATGTACATGTAGTAAGAAATGAGATGTTATAAACTTGTAATACATGTATGGCATGATTATGTTGACACCTCATTTGTGATTGCTTTTGGGCCCCCAAGGATCAAGGTAATTGATATTTAAAATAGAAAAAAATGGTTTCTGGTCCATAACTACAGTTAAGAAGGAGATATTGTAATCAAACTGTGTATAAAGCAATCTTATGTGAACACCTTGCTTGGGATTACTTTTGGTATCTCTAAGGTCATGGTTAAGATATTATTTGACAAGTGTTTTGTTTCAAAATGATGAATAAGAATTTAAGAATTGAGTATAAGAATTGAATCTTTTGTTTAACCCTTGAATAACAGTAAATGAAAATATATTTTTGATATTTAGCCCACGCAAACAGAGCTAGTTCTGAAAATATTCCTCCGACTTGTTGAGGACATTATCATTTTTCAAAATATGCCGACCAGTAGGAGACGAGAACTTGTCGGAGCTTTGACTTCTAATGCAGCAGAACTCATTGAGCTTTTGCTCAATTTACTGCAAGAACATACAGAAAAAGCAGAAAGTTTGGTAGGTATTTGTTTAGCACTCTTTGTTTAAAATTTGAACTGCAAAAGTAGTTTTAGAAAATATTATTTCTTGTAATATTTGATAATTTAATTTTTAATTTTCTTTTTGCAGCTTTTTGTTTAGTTTAAATGCTTTGGTTTATAAGTGATGCTATCTTGCTTCATGTACACAAAGATATTTTTTAATGTTTTATTGAGAGCCTAAAGCTCACATACTTCATTAAAAATAACAGGACAAATTTGAATGAAGTTATTTATTATAATTTATTGATATGCTCTGAACTGAAGAAGAAAAATTATGAACAAACTTGACAATAATGCTAAAATAGCTCAGATTAACATGGATTTGTTTTAGCATTGTTTGAGTATTTTCTTTTGCATCAAAATATTACATTAAAAAACTTTTCTTCACAAAATATTTATTGAAGAGGTATCAACATGTCTAAAAGTTTTTACCTTTCTGTTAAATGTCAGATGAACTCCGGAAATGAAGAGAATATTAAAATTGCTCAAGGTCACCTGAAGGTCAGTGAGGCAACCTTGATGACCTTGAATGGTTATATAGAATGGGTACCAATGAGTCATCTGGTTATCAAGGACAGTCTACTTCTACAGATGTTATGTTTATTGCTGAGTCATGCAAATCTTCAACTTCCTGCTGCAGAATGCCTGTTTACAATAGTTAGCAGAAAGGTAAGTATATTGTATTTTAAATTACAAATGATTTATAAGAATTAATATGACATTATCAGTCAATAAGCAAATGTTAATGACAGTTTTAGCTAATTAATAAATGTACATGGTATTGCAAATGTTCATGAAATTTACATGAAATTGTATCAGTTATCAAATGTACATGACTCTGTTAGCTGATTTCAAAATATTCATGATATTTTTAGCTAATAATCAAATGTCCATAACTTTGGTAGGCAACTACTAAATGTACATGATATTATAAATCAATTATCAAATGTACATAACTTTGTTAGCTGACAGTCAAATGTACTTGATATTAACAAATTTACTGCCAATATTAGTGATTAATTTGAAAAAAATTGACGTTTAAAAGCAATACAACATAGAGAATCAATTAACAAACAGCAGATTTGTGTACAATATTAACACAAGTTATTTATTATGACATGTGATTTTACATTAAAGGGAAAAATAGAAGACAGAAAGCCATTGTTGATTTTATTCCATGAGGGAGCCATGTCAACCATCTTGGAAGCAGCAGTGTAAGTTTTTAAATTGAATCAGTGTTTACACTGAAATTTTTTAATTGAAGGTTTTTTGGTTCAAACCATCCTGGTCAATACAAATGTATCATATAAGTACCTAATCTCACACCCAACCTATTCTCAAACCTTTCATTCATGTGCTGTTATTTTTTTTACTAGAAGTGACTATGATGTCCTGAACTTGTGTGCATAAAAGCTTAGTTTCTGACAGACATGTGTGCTGATGTCAAATGAAAACAGTGCATAGGAACAAATTATTACAGAACATATTTTATTACTAAGCGTAATTTCATACAAATTGCTATTACCTTTCTAAGTCCCATAAATACACCATTAACTATTTGTGAAAATGAATATTATAGACAAAAATACCTTAAAGCAGGTACCTGCATCGTGTAGGGTATTTCATTGTCATGTGATAGTCATATAACAATCACTACAGTGCCCATCAAAAGTCTGGAGACACATAACATTTCACTAATTTTTGGGTAATCTTGGCAAAATCTGTCCAGCAAATGCAGTTTTATTGTTTGAAATATAATATTACCTCCATTTATTATCTTTTGGCATAAAAAATGTTAAGAAAGTCATAAGATTTTCATATTTATATGACAAACTTACAGTTTTACATATTTTTTAGAGAAAACTAAACTTAACTAGTGTTTTCGATCACTTCAAAAACCTTTAATAATCCATAAAAAATTTCTGTCCAAATATCAACATAACTTCCATGGTCAGTCTAGTGAATGTTTCACTACAATACAATGGTTCCGTTTGAAGACAGAGTGCGCTGTAAAACCCTGAGAAGTCAAGGAGTGGCTGCTTCAGAAATTGCCAACATTCTGGGAATAGGAAGGTTGGTTACTTAAATTGATGATTTTTTTCACTTGCTGAATACTTTAAAATTCTTTTGCAAGAACAATATCAGCCTTGGATGTTTCTTTTGTGGTTAACTTCTATTTCCTTCTTCCAGAGCCACTGTTCACAAGATCCTGGATCGATTTGAGGCTACTTGAAGTCACCATGATCGACCTAGATTGAGCCGCCCAAAGGTCTCTACACTAAGAGACGCTCCCCTTGCTTATCAGGCAATCTTTACAAGACAGGAGACTCATTGTTCCATTGCTCATGGAAATTGACTGAGTTAATGCTTCACATTCCACAGTTTGTCGCAGACTTTAGCAAGTTGGATTAGAGTGTCATCAAGCCATTAAGAAGCCACTACTGACCAATGATCATAGACAGAAGCATTTGGCTTTTGCTAGAGCACATTCTGGCTGGGCATGGGTGGATTGGTCCACTGTTTTGTTCACCGATGAGAGCAAGGTCAACATGTTCCAGACAACGTCCAGGTGAAGCTCTTTTGGACGAATGTGTTGTGTCAACAGTGAAATTTCAAGGTGGTGGAATCATGGTATGGGGTGCAATGAGCTTCCAGGGACCTGGTATTCTGAAGGTCGTGCATGGAAACTTGAATTCCAAAGATTACATTGACATTTTGAGCAATTGTGCCATACCATCGCCTCATCTGCTAGTGTATGGAGATGAGTGCTGGTACCAAGAAGATGGTGTTCCGTGCCACCGGGCAAAAGTAGTAGAAGAATGGCACTCCCAGAAGAGCATTAGGTGCTTGTAGAACTGTCCACCACATTCTCCAGACCTAAACCCTATCGAAAACGTGTGGCATGACAACAAAATGAAGTTCGGGAACAAGCATCATGGTAATCTGAGAGAACTGTCAATGATTGTGATTCCTGGTATGAGTTGACAGTTAATAGATGTAGAACATTAGTTAAGAGTATACCTAGAAGAATTCAAGCCGTTTTGGCAGCTTGAGGCGGACACACTAAGCACTTACTGTGTGATCTTTTCTGTACTGCTGTTTGTTGGTTTTTGTGCTATTAGGTAAATGAGACAAAATTTGGCATTTTAGACCTTTAATCTAAGTTGTGCATTGTTTTTTGTGTACATATGATTGTGACATGAATGAATTATTATGTATCATTATACATTCAGAATGAATTAAATTGGGCATTTTGCCAAGAAAACTTGTTTTTATTGACTTGTCTCCAGACTTTTGATGGGCACTGTATGTTGGCTAAGCTAAACAGTAGAATTTTAGAGATACTTGAAGGGGTTCGAGATTAGGTTCTTTATTTTAAGCGGCCATGTCAGTTTTAAAACAGAGGGTTGTGCTTTTCCAAGACGGAAAAAGAGCTTTTTTAATTGTTGAATTTCAGTGAAATTTTACAGAAATGTTAGACTACTACTACATAAATATTAAAGTGTACATATGTAAAGATTTTTTATAAAGATATATTTTATTAACACTAATAGACCTCTTGAATGCTTAGAGGTTTGAGAACTGGTTAGTCCACGATACTTACAAAGTGGTCAGTGGTAGTTAATACCAGTGTTTTAATTGTTAATGCCTATTTTACTGATTGAATGATAATTTTGGGGAAAAAAGGTTGTAGTTTCTTTATAAAAGTATATTTTTCTCAATGATTTTTTTTTCAGTCTTAAAATATTTACACTGATGTCTGTAATTAACACTTGATATTCATTTTCTTATAATCTTGTGCAAATAACTTTGTCAAAGTTCCATGTTTGATTAAAATTAGCTTAGCTTAGGAGTGAGAGTATAATATTACTAGTCTAGGGGTTGCTAGTTCAATCTTCGGACAAGACAAAATTTCTCTGTAACGATCGCAGACATTGAATCTAATCGTCTTTAATTTGCACTGCTGATTCAGAAATCATGCAGGATTAGTAGTTGGTCACTTGTGAATAAAATTGTAATGACTGGTCAGTTATCCAGGAAAGTCGGTTAGGAGGACCAACCACAGAAATGTGACCAAACTGTGTTAAAATTGGTATAAAAACCAGAAAAACAAACAATCCGTACCAAATAGATTGTCTGGGTGAACATCTCTGCAAACCAACCTATTTTTAAGGTAGCCTAACTTAGACTGATATGTTTTTTTTAGCAAAGCTGAAAGTACATCTCGAGGTGAACATTTCTACAAGGTGCTACAAAAGTGTTGTCAGATCTTGGTGGAACTTGGTAGACAACTTTGTGCTCTTTGGGTAATTTCTTTGTTTATCAGTATTTCTACATCTGTTTATTTTTTATTTCTTGGATTAATATATTTTTTTCTCTATAAATCTGCTGTTAACTTTGAATTTTATTCATCTGGAGAGTTAATTCAATCAGTTAAGAGCAATGCCAACAGCCTTTGCTATATGACAAAAGCTGTAATGTATGAATTGAAATTTCTTAATTGAAAGATGGACAATTTCAGATTTAAAGCAGGTCCAGTCCATTTCTAAAATTTAGCATATTAGCAGTGGGATATAATATCACTGTCTAAGAAATACATTTTCATAATTTTTATATTAAGTTTAAAACATCTTTTTAGAATATTGAATCATACTATTTAAAATACATTTATAAACTTTTATGTCATGTAAAATATGATTTACAAAAGGCTGCAAAAATTATCATTTTATACAAGTCATATAACTGTTATGAATAAAACTTAGGGTGCTGAAAATTGCCAAGATGTTGGACAACCCCCAAACTTCCAGCCATATTTGCAGGCGTTGCTAGCATTTACACAACATCCTAGTCAGGTAGGTGCTTGCATTTACACAAATCCTAGTCAGTGATTTTCCTACTTATATAACAGACTCCGAAAAAAGGCCTCTTCCCAATTGAAATTTTCTTTAAAATCATGCAGTTTTCCCAAAAATCTTAACTTAAACCAGTTTTTTTACTTCCCAAATCAAAAATTTTAGCGATAAGTTTTCCCAAAATCAAGAGGCTAAGGCCTCTTCCCAATTAAGTGAGAAAAATCACTGCTAGTCAGGTAGATGTTTCCTTTGACACAACATCCAAGGATGGTAGGTTCTTACATATTTACAACGTTTTGGTCGTCAAATGCATTGTTCTAGTCCGACGCTTGACTTGTTATCCAGGAATTACAAGTTTTATACCCTGCTGCTGGTGATGGTCTTTTGGAGGAGACCTTAAAAGCTAACAGGGTTTTACAAAGGGCATGTAAAATAACTAGGCTCATATCTGGAACAGAGCAACAATGTTTTTATGTTTTTTCTTCAAAAATAGCAGTTATAACTCATCACACATGTGGACAATTGAAATGACACTTTAAATAAACCCCGTCGTAAAAAATGAAGAAAAAAAGTAAGACTGGTAGAGTCTTACGTACATGTATATGTATACTATATGCAACATCCTAATTAGGGAGTTGAATTAATATACACAACATCCTACCCTTAATCATTTAATCATATTTCTTGTAAACATTTTTCACTGCTTCTATGTTTACCACTAAATGCATTTATTTCAAGTTAGTTATAAAGTTATCTATACACTAAAAACTTTTTCGGTGTTGAACTTAAGAATATTGTTTCTGTCCTTTTGCAGATGTTGAGCAGTTATACACTAACTTTATGGGCACAGTTTATACGACATGAGTATGTGTCTAAGGATCCAGTGTTCCTAGCCATCCTACCCCAAGTTATTCAATCAGCCTCTAAAACATTACTAAAGGTAGGTTTCTGTATTTTACTGATATTGTACATGTTATAAGACATGTTAACCAATACTGGCTAATATATCTTAAATGGACTTGCCAATCTTTCAATTTGTACTGCTGCATGTATAATATACAGAAGCACAGTCATGAAATATACCATTACACTGACTTTATAACCCTCCACACCCTAAATATCTTAAATTTACTTGTCCATCGTTCAATATGTATTTATCCAGTTATCATTTTTAGGGAAATTTCAAAATATGAACGGACTGAAAAGCAAACAATATAAGGTTGAGTTTCAGTACAGTTTTATGTTGTAAAGGTTTGAAAATTGTGTCTCATGTTTTAGGTTGGGTTTCCGAGCCAGTCCAACTCTTTAAGTTGTGATTTTGCAAGGTTGGACTTTGACAATGATGAAGATTTTACTTTTTTCTATTCAAGTAAGTTTTCTTGTTAATTCATTCATAGACTTGCATGATAGTTCTAGTACAGATGCTGCAAGTCCACCAAGTCCTTATTAAGACTATCTGGAGTGTTGGTTGAAAACAATACCTATAAATAGATTAAGACATTCGTATTTAGCTTGACTATTCCAGATTTTTGTGGCTAAATGGTTAAGGTCTTTGACTTTAAAGCACTTGTATGTTACTGCTGTGGGTTTAAATCCAGACAGGGAGTTTCCAGCTAGCTTGAAGAATATCGGTGGTTCTACTCAAGTGCCTAATTGTACCTGATTTAATGCACAGAAAGGCACCTAAGCTACCGACAGCTCTTGGGGGCTTTAAGTAAGATCTATAAATTGAAAATTGGGTTCTTTATTGGTGATGTATGACTAAATTTCAAAGTTGTATACATTAATCAGATACAATGTAAGTTTTTACATGTGTTCAAGATAAAAAAGGAAGTATGGTTTGTTTGTTTGTTTGTTTCATCAAGAGGTTGTCAATTTTATTTCTTACATCCAATTCATTTTCATGCTAAGTGAATTGTGTATAATTATGTGTAACTAGTGATAATGTTAAAAGACTTTCAAGGTTTTGTTTTCTAATATTACAGAATATCGTGCAGAGGTTGCGGAAATAATTCGACAGGCTACGTTACTAGTTCCTACAACAACATTTGGAAATGCATCTGAATGGCTCAAACTACTTCTAACTAAGCCAATAGATACTGGTGAAGGTACAGTTATAAAACATAGGCTCTTAAATCCTAAAGTCCTCAAGGTTATAAATCTTTTTCTGAGTTCTATCTCATATCTCAGGATTTTCATTGGTCAGTGTACATTCTGAGCTGGTTTTTGACCAATCAAATACCAGATATCTGAGTTAGAGCTTGAAAATTGTCTTTATTACCTTGGGGCCTGGTTTTTTTATGTACTTAGTCTGATTGAATTTGGAACTGCCAAGGAGCAGTATCAAGTTCGAAAAATCAACAACCCAAAATTATAAAGTCTAGTGAAACTAAATGAAAGTGTAGGCTGACCTGGCCTTTAGACTAGTGGTATAACACAGCAATAAATTCTAGTAGTGTTGTAAAAGATGAATTCAAATGAATTTAATGGAAATTGATATAATTATGCTAAATGTTTGTCTAAATTTTAGTGAAAGTAATGTAAGAGCTTGAATTTTGGTGTTAATTTTATCACTCTAAATGCTAGTGGTTATAATGATTTACCTGTGCTGAAATCGCCTAAACTAAAGTGCAGTCTGGTCAGACCCTTTATTTTTGTCTGCATGACTAAAACAATTTAACAAGTATTTGTATCAACAACATAATTGCCAAATAAGCAAGTAATAGGTTATGTAACATATTTACAAGTTAAACAGGGTAATAGTTTTAAAAATGGATATTTTTCAGTTATCAGCCGATAACATAAAAGGTATTAAAATCCCAGGCTTACATGGATATTTCAGATACAAAAACTGGTCAATGTAACCAAAGTTCTCCGTCGTATCTGGAGTGGGATGCATTAACGGTGTTCCTAGAGGGCGTGATGAACAAAATGAAGCTGGAAAATCAGCCTCAGTCATGTATAGATGATGGTATAAGCCTCCTCAAAGCCGTGCTCAATTATGAGACTCAGGTATAAATCTCTCACAAAAAGTTAGCAAGTAGAACAATTTCACCCTCAACCTGCCTGACTTTTATTTGTTTAATGGACTTTTCCATCGTTGAATTTGGAACAGTCCATTTAAAGGTTAAGGCATTTCTATAGTAAAATAGAAAAATTGTGCTGCCAACAGTAGCAAGACTGTGCTAGGCTCTCTCCTTGTGGCAATGGCTTATTGCTTTTTGTTCCAGCAGTTTAAGGGTTAAGTTCTTACGTTTAGAAATATGAAAATGACTTTGTGTATGATTCTGTAAATAAAGTTGAACAGAATATCAGAATTTGATAGTTGAATAAATAAAATGTTACTTCTTGAACATACCTCAAGGTATAATTTCTCTAAAATTCAATTTTGCTATTGTTTTTACTTGGAATTTGGAATTTGATGTATTCACTAAACTTGAGAATTTCTTTTCATTTTTCAGCAGTTCAAAATGCTAACGTACATGTAGTCTTAGATTATCTTAGGTGATGTGAGGGTTTTTGGGATGTGCTTACAAAACTGGTTTATATTAGCTGATAGTTTACATCTTGTTTCTGTGTTTCTTGTTTCTTTTATTGTTGTTATATTATTTGATATGTTTTGTATTTTGATTATTTCAGGATCCTCTAATATTGTCATGCCTTCTGTCATGTATATCAGCCTTGTTTATCTTCCTAAAGTATACACCAGATGCATTGATGGCTGTCTTAAGAAAGGTAAGTCATAACATGGTTACAGTTGTTTGTTCAAACAGTTGATGATAGTCTTAGATAGATATTAACCACCAACTCTGGTTTACCCCTAGTCACCTTTTTGTGCTTTTCAACTCACCCTTTATTTAAATTATCAAATGAAATGTTTTCACTGTCATTTTACAATTGAATCGTGTACTTCTCTAAAATAAATATCAAAGTTAATCAAGAAATTAGTATTTCAATGCAAACCTGGTAGGTATTGATTGGTTGTTGGTGGGTGGGGTGGGGGGGGGGTTTGGATACATTGTAAGTTTTTGTTTTGGACAATTTAGAGGTATGACGCTGTTAACAAATTCTTTATTTTAGGGAAATATTAGAGACATAATCATAAAAATAGATAAAATTAAATTGTCAGCTTTTTATGGGGGAAATATTCCAAAATAATATAAGATTTTATGTCTTTGAATATGACTGACCTTTTAAAATTTTCATATGTTTTAGATATTCAAATAGTTTGAATTCAAGCTTTCTGTCTTGAAGAAAGTTGAGCTATTATGATTGCTGCGTCTTCGTTGTTATCTTTATGGTCTTTGTCATTGTTGTCATACAAAAACTTGAATGTAGCTTGTTATTCAAACATTTTAAAAGTTAGAAAAATGAAACTTGGAAGCTTGACTATCATGACAAGGTGCAGTTGTGAGACAGGGGTCCTGAAAGTTTTGGAGTTTTGCCCCTTTTTAACTTTGAATTTTTGTCAAAATTGGATATTGCCCTGTCCAGTCAAGCATTAACTCTGCATGCGGTGCTATTGCATTTAAATTAAAATGATTCTATCATTTCTTACCAAAAACTAGCACTATAAAATGTTGACCAAACCTTAAAGAATTGATTTTTCTGAAAAATTTACAAAATTATCTTTTTTCTTGGCAGAATTCGTATTGTTTTCATTGAGAAATTGGATTTTTAATTTTTATTTCAGATTTTTTCAGCTGTTGTTTTTAACCTACCAGGACAGACAAAGTCTACAAGAAGCAAGGCAGTAAAGAACGTGAGACAGCATGCTTGTTCCATTCTCGTCAAAATCTGCAAGGAATACCAGGATCTTGTCTTTGTAAGTGTCCGTCTGTTTGGTCTGTAACATAGATTATATTATATCTTACTATCCAGCTATAGAATGATGTCAAATTGTTGTCTTTGTTTGACCTTCATTCAGAAAATATTCATAATGACCTGGCCTAGTGACTATAAGTACAAAGAATATTTTATATTTGTGATATTTAACAGTATCTTTTGCAGTAATCGACCACACTAGCATCTCCTATGTGAAGAAGCCTATAAAATGACATTTGCAAAGGTTCTACTTGTGCTTTCTATTGCCTGAAATAAAATACACAAAGGCTAAGAAATACCTAAGGCCTTTATGTACCAGTAATAATTACGCTTTGCATAAATCAGTCAGTTAATCAATAAATTCGTCAATCAAGCAATAAGTCAATCAATGTGTGAAACATTTAACCATATATTTTCCAGCCGGTTTTTGATGAGTTATTCAACCATATACAATCTTATCAGTAATGATCCAGATAATTTTTATCTCAGATGGAGAGATGTATTTCTGATAGGGGAGGCCATGATACTTATTAGGTAATCATTTCTACCTTAACCTTTTTACCGTCCAGTTAGCTTCAATATGTAGAGGCATCGGACTGTGAATCTGGTGATTCTGGGTTTTGATTCCTGTGTGATACAGGTCACTTTGGTTGTGATTGATAATGAAATTTTTCTACAGCTCCCATTGTACCTCTGCTCTTGTATGTACAGAAGTTATCAGTTTCCTTGCGAAAGTGAAGGCAACTAGTACTGGTAAGCTGCTTGACAGCCTGCCCAGGAACAATCAGGTGGCTGAACTGTGCTCTGGTAAATTCAATGGTTGCTATAAACTGCAATGTCTTGAGTGAAAACAACACCACCAACCACCTCAACCCTTACCATGATGAATATCTTAAACTGACTTGTCCATCTTTTAATCTGAACAAGACCATTCATCATTTTAAGATAGAATTTCAAAATGAAAAGTACCTAGGCAGCGTTTTACTAACGTAAGATTTGCGTAAGTTTTAACTTACGTAAGATTTTTTTACGTAAAAGGTGTTTTACTAAAAATTTGCGTAAGTAAGGATTTCATAAGTGTTTACATAAAGTTATGCTTAAAATTTGTTGACTTAAAACTTACGTAAGTAAGACTGACATCATCAATGAAGAATGGCAGAGAAGGATAGCTAGAATCACGGATTTATATTACATATAAATCCGTGCTAGAATTTAGAGACAGATGTTACTGGTAATATATTTTAATGGTGAAAGCGGCTCTACAAAAGTAAAGTCTAAGTAAGGAAAGGATAATGTGGATTCCTGACTTGTTGAAAAGGAAATTTAGTAAATAAAAAAAAAACATATATGGAAGTCGTCCTGTCAGCTTAAATAGGAAAGCCTTTAACTATTATATTCTTCCCCAAAAATATACCGGTGCCCCATACCTCCCTTAGTCGTGGTTGAGCTCGACCCCATGTATTTTAAATCAGTTGTAAAGTGTTTTTATATTATTTTAACATGCTAAATATAGATTTATTGAGAATTTTATAAATTACATATAATGTTAACTGAAACTCAGTAAATTTAATACTGTATCAACAGGATAGGAGAGAGTATCTAAATTGATGGTGAACTTTATATGTGCATTCAATTGTATGATTTGCAAATGTACATAAAAGTATCTGTTTCAGTTTGTTTTTTATAGAAAATATTCAGATATCATTACTTCACTAAAATACTTACAAGTTACACTGCAATGAAGACTACAAACTTAAATAGCTTTTGTTTTTGCGTGTGCATTTTTGTGTCATCTTTTTTATGACTAAATACAATAAAAATAAATAAATAACATAACAAATAAATAAATAAATGAATAAATAAACAAAAAATATTAAAAATGTTGGTTAAGTGATTAAGGTATACATTTCATATAAAAATGAGAATAAAAAATCCACATTTTCACTTGCGAACATTACAGTTCTTTCACTTCTCAAAACAAACAAAAACCCTTTAAATATCCTCTGTGATGGATCAAGTGTGGTTCTCCTTAATGCTCTTTAAATACATTTATTTAAAATCGAGAGAAACCCCTGCGTGATTGATGGTCGTTGGCACATATATGCACTTAAAATACAAATTGCACAGAAACATTCCTGAGTGTCCGTAGATGCACTATGAAATTCTAGTTTAGCCTTGTTTTACAACGCTTTTATTAAACTAATTCTTAAACCTCCTTTGAAGAGTTACGCACGATTTTAACGTAAGTTTAAGAAAAATCTTACAAACATTTTGTGGAACACGCTTACGATTTATGTAAGTTTAAACGTAAGCGTAAAGTTACGATAATTCTAACCCCAGGAAAAACTTGCGCAATGTTAGTAAAACGCTGCCCTACTTGAATAGCATACAGTGCAGAAATTGATGAAAACGGCATAGATGTGCCAGCTGATCATGGTCTGCACTTGTCGCATTGTCTGGCAATGGGTAGATTCAGTCACTGCGGGCAGGCGGAAGGAATTAATACTTGGTATCAACTTATGTAAAATATTTACCAAATTCTTTCAGTTGCAAAACACAGCTAATCAATATTAGTAATATATTCTTGAAAAACAAATTACTGCATAATATCTTAAAAATTTGTCAATGTCATTTCAGGGTAATTTATTTAATTTAGTAACAATGCATTTGTTGTAAACTGTATTTTATATTTATTTTAATATAGCATATATATACATAATATTTATGTAACTTAAGTCTTTAGAATGGTTGTTTAATATTTTTGTGTTTCAGTAACAACTTCAACAATTTTGAGAAGCAGTCTGCATTTAATAGAGGAAGTTTTAAAACCAGTCAAGGAATTTTGGTCATCTGAAGAATTCAGAATGTAAGAATAAAGAGTGAACCATGTACAGTACTGTAGAATTTTTTTTTTGTTAATTTTTTTATGACTTTCGAAATGAATAAGAAAAAAAAGTTAACTGGTATGTAGTTGAACCAATTAGTGATAGGAAATATCTACATATGAAAAGGAATCTCTATGATAGACAGTTTTGTTCAAATTTTGTAAGAAGTTTCATATTACATAGTGTATTGGCATATTTATAAGTATTTTCTTTTTTTTGGGTTTTTTTTTGCCATCTTTTGAGATACAGTGTTGAGTATAGCATATGTAGTGTCTCTGTCTATATAAATGTATATGAGTGTTAAATCATGTCAGTCAATAAATTTATCAATCAATGATGGTCTTTGAAATTACTTAGCAGGAATGTTATCTAGCATTAGATTATATACCGGTAGTGTACCTGAACAAGTCAAAGGTCAAAAATCTTTTTTTGGTACATTACTGTATTATTTCTTGATCTGCTTTAAAAATGTTTTGACATAATTATTTACCAACATTAAATAATGTGTCTGGAAGACACATTTCTAACCAATCATGTATGTTCACAGGGCATTTTGGTCAACAGATAAATTTATGTCCTATGTTGGATTAGACCAAGCCCCTGTGGAACCTAGCTCTGCAGATACATGTGGTATAAACCGATCTCATGTAAGTATTATTTTACTTTCAATCAGTTTGTTTGTTTTCTGTTGTTTTTTTTACGCTTATTTTAAAAACATATTTTTGATCATATTTTGGCAGTCAATCCATCTAACCAGCTTTTTCAGGATAACTACACAGTAATTACTATTTCTCAGCAACTGACCGACTATTCATCCATCATGGTCTCTGAATCAGCCGTGAGAGACAAATAACCATTAGACTCCATGACTGAGATCAGTTGTCATTCAAGGCCCTGGATTACTAATCAAATTGTCTCCCTTTTGACCTATGCAGGCGAAATTCTTTTGAAATGAAATTACCTAGGTCATGGTTTAAGTGTTACTAAATTACCAGAAGTAAAATTTATTTGAATCTCTTATTTAGTAGTATAAGCAAGAATTTCTTGTATTTTCCATGATTTTTATGTCATGTTTTTTTTGCAATTTTATTTTCGAATAATATATTTCAGATTAGCTTTTGTATTCACACAATTCTAGCTGTAATCAAACGTAGCAAGTGGCCAGTTGATTTTCAAGGTTAGATTTTTGTATTACTAATATTTTCACAAGTACATTTTAAATGAATCTTGTGTATGAGATAGGTAATATTAAGTGGTTTAATTGTTGCACGGTTGTGACGTCATTTATGTTATACAAACATAGCTTTAAGACGTACTGAATGTTAGCGTTACACTATAAGGGCATCAATGAAAAGACGATTCTTTTTCTGTAAACAGTTCTTATTTTGGCTGTGTAATACATTGAATATTATATTTGTGTACTGTCATTATTATATTTATTGAACCCATTAACTAGAATATTATGCAAGCCAATATAATTTTATTAAATTAATTCAATAAATTAAGTTTTGAACCTACACTCATTCATTATCCTTTATTTATACGATGGTGGATATCAGTTAACTGAACTTGCTATATGTTAGTTCTAATATATTACTATTGATTTATTAAGGCTGCGAAAGATGGTGGGTTTGTAAATGTAAACCAGAATGACTTTATCATGCGTAACCCAGCAACCGCACACATCACCTGTCTGCTAGAAAATGTTCTTGCTCTTCTCAAGTAAGTTCTAAATAGATTTTACTTTAAAGATTGAAAAATTGTGTTGTTTGTTTCTAAGATGACTATAGATGCTCTATAAAATAATGTGAAAATGACTGTTTTATACTTCGGTTGCACTAGAATTAAAGTGAGCTAGAGAAATGTGGTTCTGATATCTGGAAGTCAAGCAGATATTATTCACTTTAAGGCAATTTCAGTGTTACTATATGCTGGTATAATGGACCTTTCCGGTTTTTCATAGAGGAAACATTAAGCCCAGCTTTTCCATTCATTGCTAGATCAACTGCTCACAAACAGTATCACAAACAAAACCATGTGTTCTTTTTGTGCAAACCAGGTCAACCAGTGACTACGTATTATCTCAGTGTAGCAATTGGATAACAAATTTACATAAAACTGTATACACTGGAAAGATCCATTGTTCATCTGGTAACATGTTCTTGTTATCAACCCGGTCAGCTCAATAGGGAGAGGATTAGATTTGTTAACCAGGGCTTGCTTGTTTGATCCTGGGCATGGCAATATTTCACGTGACATGTGATCTTGATCAGAAGTCTATTGGCCATTTGTCTCTCTCCACAGAGTTATAATAATAATTCACTTGAGAGAAATTGATTGTTACTGGATAACTTGGACTGCTGAGATATTGATAATTTTAACTTGAAAAAAAAAAAAAGTAAACCATTTCAGAATTTATACAACAAATGATATTTATATACTTCCCTCTGAATAGTATTACATTTATAAATAGAAAAAAATACAGAAATTATAAGAAAAGAGAATCATAAATAATGTTTATTTCAGGGCCATGAATATGTTATTCTGTGAGAATTACATGAAACTGTGTCATCCTGATTACCGAAAGGCCTACTTACTACCAGACAATGAGATACTATCACTCCTAGGTAATTTTGAAGAAAAAAATGCAAACTCTTTGCTTGTTCTTGTCTATTGAGAATAGTATGGCTATCCTACTCATCTGTGCATTGACATTACACTTTGCTCGAGTTTAGCTTGCAGCTTTACATGTAGCTTCATGTTTGATCAACCACTGAAGGTATTTGTTCGTAACTTCCTTCACACATGTATTTGGGATTATCATTTAAGATTACACTGTCCAAGGCCTGTAACTCTATCATGGAATTTGAGTGAATTATAGTCCTTCTTGAACTGAGAAATTCTTGATCAAAGAATATTATGTAAGATCAAACCTCCATCATTAACCCTAAAGGATATTCAAGTTAACTTGAGACAATAATTGAAAGAATTACTCTCTTTAAGACCCAAGACAGAATTTGCATGAATTTTATATATCCTTTTGTGAACATGGGAGAAGTCCTGTTTATTGTTTGTGTGTTCAAAAATCATTCTCCATGCTGACTGAAGTATTTGCATAAAAAAAAATTTCATGTTTATTGGACGTGTTTGTGTTATGCCAACATGATAAAGGACCAAACAAACCGTTCAAGTTACACAATTACAAGTTTGGAATGAAGAAATTAAAAGCCCTTGTGGACAAAAATAACTCGTTTCAATGGATTTTTGTGAATAAGATCATCCCTGTTCTATGAAATTACATTATTCCATTGCTCCCTTTGTTTTACTATCAAGCACTGAGAATGTTTAGTCAAGTGTGCAGTCCTATTGACAGCTGTTGCGTATTTCCCTGAAAGGTGGCATCAATACAAGAGAGTAATTTTGTGTATTCAAATATTTTTTCAGTTGTAAATGCTGCATGTTTATTAAATTCTTTAGGAAACATTCTATCCTGAAATATTAGATAGAATTTGTCAAAATACATGAAATTAAAATAACCCTCATTCCACTCGAAACAAGGTATAAGTGTGCTGATAAAAATGTAAATTCAATAAAATTTTACATTTGAGAAAGTCACATGAATTAGTACTACTTTCTCCTTCTTGTCTTATATTTTTAATTTAATTTTAATTATTTGTGAAAACTTGTTTGTTAATGTATATGTGTGAAGGTTAACAGCATTGGCATATGTTACAGGAGTACCTATGCCACATGTTGATGACTCGAGTCGTATAAGGAGTAAACAACCTCTAGAAAGAATGCAGAATTTTCTCACAATTTCGTATGAAATAAGGTAAATATGTGTACAATATTTGCGGGAAAAATGAAATGATGCCTAATCCTATTTAACATCGTTTGGTTATTAATGTCATAATCTTGAGGATCCCTTTAACAGTGAAACCAGTAGATTTTGTTTTTCATTATTACAACAGTTTTGCTAATAAAATTACAATGTATATTGGAAACAGCATCGCTTCATTCTTTTTTCCCTGCTATTTTTTTTATCTGTACTTCAATATAGAAAAATATATAGGATTTTTACATGTATTGTCATCTCATGTAGACCCATATTAACCAAGTCTTTGAAATATTGTAATGGAAACCTGGGACTAGAGTTTATAACCCATTTATTACTCATTGGCCAATTATGGAACCATCTTTTTCATCTGTTGCTTTTTGGCAATAAGTACAGTAATAGTGAATTTGTATTTTGTATAGAAGTCAAAATACTACTTTGTTTGCATTTTGCTACTTTAATGACAAATTGTGTCACATTTTTCACAAACATTTTACAGGTAACAAGAATTACGATTTTTGTCAACTTATGTAATGTTGGTTTATTTCAGTTTCCATATTCTGGGCAATGCAGGTCAATGTCTAGGAAGTGAATTTTATGCCATACCAAACCTAGCCGAGTCTATGATACAGACTGTGTTGTCAAATCTTGAAGTTTTACCAGACTATAGACTGAGACCCATCATTCATATCCTTTACATAATACTGGGGATAAAAATTTGCAGGAGCTAGGAATTATTGACTGATGTCAGGGGGCTTCAAAAATTTCATATTTTTCACTATATCAAGTTCAGACCTCATCAGGGACTTGAACTTTATGTAGCTATGTTTTGGGCAGCTGATACGTATTCGGGTTCCCTATTTATATAAAACTTCCCTGAGGTGGGGGATGTTGGTAACTCAGTTACAAATTCTTGTTTGTTAATTGATAGCAATGGAGACGAGATTAAATCATTATATTTGTTTATTTACTTTTGAAAATTTGTTTACTGTAATGAGCATTTTCTAAATTTTCATAAAAATCGACATGAACCTGGAAGCCTCCTGCATTTGAAGCATATGCCAAATTATTGCATTAAACTCTCCCATTGTAATTGACATTCATTCATTGTACTCCTTAACCCTACATCAAGTGTTTTTCTGAAGCCATTCATCATAATTGTCCTAGTGAGTACTACAGAGTGGCAGTGCTACCAGTGTTAGCTCATGTGTGCCCATTTATGTATCTGGTTAGTATATATGTAACCATCATGTTAAAAATCTTCAATGTGGAGAAAACTATTCATCATTTTTTTGGGAAAATTTCAAAATATTTACTGATTGAATAGCGAACAGTGCAGTAAATATCTGTACATACTCTAAGTTTCCAGATGCACATATTTCTTAATGTAATAAATTGCATTTTAATGATACAACAACTACATATACTATCTACAATGGATAGCTCATTACTTACAACTTTATCAAAGAAACGAAATATAGTCAAAAACTACATGTATATGTTACTGTTTATGAACAATATTTTGCTTGTTTTCTTTCAGAGGCTTGGAAGAAATGGAAAGACATAAATGAGAGATGTCAGACAAGGTAGAGACAATTTTCGAATATTTTTATGCCTCAATTTTTAAAAAGCATACTATGATAAATATGGTGATCTATTCATACTTCATGTATGTTCTATTATCCTTGTTCTATCAAATTTTGGGCAAAGGTATAAGCTGTGGTTTACGTTACTTGAAGGGATATTGCTCATAGCAAGTAGATGACTTTTCTTGGGGGCTTCTGTGGAAGAGGGTTTTAATGTCATTGACTTCAAACCACTGCAGAAGGTTCAAGTCCCATGAGAGACTTTGGATTGTTTAATGTGAGGAAGATATCCAGCTAGCTTACAGACTAATGAATCAGTGGGTGCTTGAAATATTGAACAAAATGCCACTTGGAAGTTTTCCTTACCTCTAAAAATGACCTTAACAGTGTTGATGTGACCTAAAACCCAACCAAAAAATAGAATAAGATGAAGAAAAATACTCCTAATGATTTCGAGATCAAGGTCTCGGCACATGCCAAATTTAGTGAAAATAAAAGTGGCAAGGTCTTTAATAAAAATAGCCTGTACATATGTATAAAAAATTTAGATAAATAGATTATTTAAAGAGATTCAAAGACACGCAAACTTATATAATAGTATGTCTTATGCACCTTGCCTTTACATGAAGTAGGGTATAAGTAGAGAACATTTGTTGTTTTTTTCAAGAAAAGATACAGATGATGACAATCAAGAAAGTCAAGAAGTTATAGAAGAGCAAGTCACCCGGCAACTAACCCGAGAATATGTTGAACTATTAGGTAAACTTTGCTAAAGTTTTTCTGGATTATTCCTAATTTAAAGGCTTTAGGACTTGACAGGCTCACAAAATTACAAAGTATGGCCAATTACCTTTAGAAACTGTAATTTTAATGCAACCCTTTGTAGAAGCAGGGGATGAAAGAAATACAGGTAAATATTAACTGAATTGTGAAAAAATTATGACAACATGATAACTACCAGTAAAACAAGGACCATTTTTCCATTGTCTGCTCTATGATGACAAGTTTGAAACAAGTTAATGATTTTCACATATTTGCTTTTGTGTTTTTCCCAGGATATCCCCTTTTCAAGAATTTTAATACTCAAAACAGCGGGTGTTAAAAACAGTGTAGCAGCTGTAAAATGTTGTCATAAACTTTATCTGAATGTAATATTATATTTTTATGTTCTTTCGGGGTCATTGATTATTATCTTATAGGTATTAAAGATTGTATGTTGCTTAAGCCGATAGTTGGGGTGTGCTGCAGATGGAGGGGATTAGGGGAGGGGTTATTTGCTGCGGAGAGACATGCTGTACTTTTCGTGATATTTCATGAACAAACTCAATTTACTGGAGGTGATTATTTTCATTGCTCTTGAAGGATCTCCCTTTTTTCCTGATTTTTTTACTGATACATATATAATTTTTACACATTATAATAAAGATATATTTTATAAACAGGAATTATATTCTATAAGAAAAGGAATAAAGAAAGTAATGGGGCAGGAGGAGACAAGATGTGTGACGATGATGAGTTTCAATCTCCAAACAGACCCGACCTTGGAGAACTAGGAAATTTATGTCTTAGCATTGATGTATGTAATAGTAAATATATAATCCATTATCTCTTTAACATGCTTAATATCTACTATATATATAATATCTTAGATAGACTTGTGCATCTTTAGATCTGGACTCAACCATTTGTCATATATATGGAAAATTTCAAAATATGTACAGACTGAATAGCAAACCGTGAAGATCAAGATCAGACAATTGATTTTGGTCTGAGCTGGTTGCATAGGTAGAATCTGTTAAGGAATAGATGAATGCAAGAATAAGTTGTTGTTTTTTTGAAAACTGGATTAATATACATCTTATCTGAAGTCATGTGACATGTGACATATTAGATACTTGATTGCTCAGGCTGTTCACTAAGGGAATTGTATGAAGTATATTAAAATATATATCTCTGGTTCTTCAGGATCATTAATTATAGTGTTAAAAACTGCTTGTTGAAGCAACTTGCTTTTACCCAGGCCATCATGCATTCTGTGATATATACAAAGTCTGATCAGATTATGTACTGTAGCTTGATTTTAGAATTTTGATAACCTTATCATTCATTTTTAACTTGTCTGTTTTGAAGAAAAAACCTACTGAAGCTATAACGATGGCAGTGACATTGATGTGCAAAATTTTTGATATAGCCCATTTCTTACAATATGAAACTTGGAATACTTGCTTGTCATGACTAAAGGCAGTTGTATGACAAGTGACATAATTCGGAAAGCTATATTTTTAAAGTTATGCTCCTTTTTATCTTAGAATTAAAGTGGTTAATAGTTGAGCATTAACACTGTACAGAGTGAAATGCATGACTCCATGAAACAAACTTGTAGCAAACATGCTAATGATCCAGTTGAAAATACTTTATCAATAAATATTTGTCCATTTTTCAATCTGGACAAAACTTTTCATTTTGTGTGTGTGTGTGGGGGGGGGGTTCAATATATGTACTGACAGAAAAGCAAACTGTGTAGATGTACCACCTGATCTTGGTCTGCACTCATTACATGGATATATTCAGTCTCTGCCAGCATGCTAAGAGTTTATCCACTTTGAGCAATTCACATGAATGCAATAACCGCTAAACTATTTGAGCGGCGCCATGACAAAACCAATGTAATGCGTTTGCGACCAGCATGGATCCAGACCAGCCTGCATATCCGTGCAGTCTGATCAGGATCCATTCTGTTTGCGTACAAACCCTATTACAAGTAGAAAAACTGATAGCGAACAGCATGGATCCTGATCAGACTGCGCGGATGCATGCTGGTCGTAAACGCATTACGTTGGCTTTGTTGTGAAGCGGCTCATTTATTTTTTTATCTTTTAGTCTGTATGTGAATCAACAGTGATATCAGTGTTTGCCGGACTATGCTGGATGGACACACCCACCTGTAATAAATGCATAGCTTTAGCAAGACCAATTCTAGAACAGGTATGTGATCTTTTACATAAACTACAGGTTTTTTTCACTTTTTCCAAACTCCCATATAGGTGATGTTTGAATGACAGTTTTTCAGTTTATATAGCATGGTACTTACTTACTTACATAAATTACATCACTTAAGAAATCAAACTCACAGAAATGAAGGGATCCTTTATGGCTAAGTGGTTGAGGTCATTGACTTTACAAATTGCCCCTCACTGATGTGGGTTTGAATATTGTCAAGGACTGTGGACTCTTACATAACGTGGAAGCTATACAGCTAGTTTACTGAAGGTTTATACCTTTATGGTTCTACTGAGGTACCCACTCAAGCCAAAAAGAGACCTAAAGTCTTCCTCCACCAGTAAAGCTAGAAAGTCCCTGTGTGACCTTTACAGTGTTGATGTGACTAAAAATCAATCAAAACAAACCAACTTCCCCACTTATACAGTATAAATAAAGTAGTTTAAATAAATCATATATTTTTTTTACAGCTTGTAGAAAGTAGTAGAATGTCTGGAGCTGCAGCGTCACATTTCTATGGTAACATTGTGATGTCATTACAATACCAGGGTCAGTTTGAGGGCACACAGTCTATGTTACTAGGGCTAGGTCTGATGGCTTATGAATTACTGGTAGGTTGTTGCAAAAAAAAAATTTGACCATTTAGCATTTGATTGTTAATATCTTTGTATGGTTACTGCATACTATAACAAGAGCTGTCGGTAGGACAGCAACGCTCGACTATTCTTAGTGCTTGATAGTAAAAAAAATGCTTGATATAGTTACCTCCTCCTGTTTACAGGTTGGGGTCATGATGGTGAACAAGTGTGCAAAGTTTCAAAGCCATATGTCAATGGACTTTGAAAATATTTAAACTATTACAAAAACTTTAACGTAAATTCTAAGTCGAAAAAGGGGCATAATTCTGTCAAAATGCTTGATAGAGTTACCTCCTCCTGTCTACAGGTTGGGGTCATGATGGTGAACAAGTGTGCAAAGTTTCAAAGCCATATGTCAATGGACTTTGAAAATATTTGAACTATTACAAAAACTTTAACGTAAATTCTAAGTCCAAAAAGGGGCATAATTCTGTCAAAATGCTTGATAGAGTTACCTCCTCCTGTCTACAGGTTGGGGTCATGATGGTGAACAAGTGTGCAAAGTTTCAAAGCCATATGTCAATGGACTTTGAAAATATTTGAACTATTACAAAAACTTTAACATAAGTGGTTACGCCGACGCCGTCGCGGACGCCGACGCTCGGGGTACTACAATAGCTCTACTTATTCTTATTGAATAGTCGAGCTAAAAAGTTCATGGAACATTTTCCTGCCAAGTTAATTAAAATAAACTTATTTCATTTGAAATTCCGGCTTATATTAGGTAGCAGGTGACTTATATATTATCAATAGATTATATCGAGACTCTTTAAGTTGAATTTTCATTAATGTTATATTTTTTGTATACTTTTTCATAATCATTTATGTTGTATATTTTCAGCGACCACTATATCCTGAAGTTCGTGATTTTATGTTAAAAATTCCAAAGTGTACAGAGCAAGCTTTAATGGTAATGATTATTTAGAGGAAATTAATATTTTATTAGACTTATATCTTCCATTGACAACAAAATTTACATATTTTTATGCTCCCAGCATGTATATGTAGTAATTGCACTGCTGAGTGAGGAGGGGTCTCATACTGTAGTTTAAAAGAGTCAGTCACTTATAATAAAAAAAAAAAAATTCTGCGATTTTGCTCATAAAGCCTTTATTTAATGACAGATGCTTTTCATATCTGGTAGGTACACACCTTAGGTAATTTCAAACTTTAGGTGGTGGGTTCAAGGGTCAAGGTCAGCAGTGCCAAAAATAGATTTTTACTATTAAGCTTATACAGCCTATATTAAAGATATCTTTCATGCTTAGTATGAAAATACCTTGAATAATCCTCTGACATACGGAGATCAAGGGCCTACAAATATTTATACTTTTACTCATATATCCTTTGATAATATTTGTCGACCAAGGTCTCTTATATTTGTTTTTAATCTGATTTGCGTGTTTTGACAGTAGAAATATAGTAAAGAGTTGAAATGATCAGAGGTTTTTGCTTTATATTTACAGATTATCTTGTCCTTTCAAAAAGGTGGCAGATTTCCCCTCCCTTAATATTACAACAACAACAACATGAGCACTGGTTAAATTGAGCTAGTTTAAACAATACATGCATACAAATAAAGGATAAAAAAAGAGATTGACATTTTGTTAAATAATTGTATGTATTTACTTTTGTGAAAATAACCATAACCAATAATGAGGAAAATAGTTAGCCCCCACCCCTTCCTGTGAGACTATCATTTGTCTTATATGCATAAAAAAATTTGTTTTTATTTAAAACAGTAAAATATATTTGTAGGCCTTTGACGAGAAGATATTTGGACAACCACCATCACAGAAATTTGGTGAGAAGAAAAGGAGAGATGCTTACAAAGCTCTTGTTTCAGAGGCTATAGGGGTTTGTCATTTCTATAAAAAATAATCAACAATGTAACTGAAATATGGTTATTGTCAAAAATTCCCTTTTCCTTTATAATATTGTTTTCTAGTTATACATTTTTGATGGCTTAATTTATTTGGCTTGGTTATCAGACCCATTTTAAAGTATTGATGTTATGTGGCATTGTCAATCAAATATTTCACCAGGTGTCTTGGAGACAAAACATGTTATCAACAGAACTCCAAGTCCCTAGAAGCTAGAACAACAAACTCTTGCCATATGTTATATAACAAGAATAGCTGGCACATTTCATCAGCCAAACAATGCTTAATTGATGCCTGCTAAATATTTTATTTTGATTCAGACTGCCCTGGAATAAACAGCGGGCAAATCTAGATTTAAAGCATGGCAAAACTATTTTAAGTCATCAGTAGGTAGGACAAGTAATCTGCAAAGTTCTAAGCATTTTTATACTCTAATTACTAATATTTATTACTTTGTGTAGGAGTGGGGAAGTATTAAAATTTTCTGTTTATCGCATTGTCTATCTGTAAACTCCAAAAACTTTACTGTACACATTTCTAGTTACTGTATCTTTTCCCGTCTTCATATTTCAGAAGTATATAGGAGAACAGTTCAAAAGAGAGATACACTATCAAAGTTTTCCAAAATTATTCAAGCGTTCAAAACCAAAGCAACCAAGTTTGGATGAAGTAGAGCACAAAGACATTGGATTGTGTAGCTTGTTTAAACCTGAACCAAATGGTCAGAGCTGATTTTTCAGGAACTATGGATTGACATGGAATGAAATAAGCTTTTATAGTAAAGAAACGACAAAATTGTCAGCATAATTGGCATAAAATGAAATAAGCTTTTATAGTTACGAAATGCAAAAATTTCAGGTTAATGGAAAGACATTTTATACATTTGACATTGGTGCTTTATTATATATAGTGGTAAAGCATTCAGAAACTAGAAAAAAACTAGAGTTGAATGAAACAATGTTGATATAACCTAAAGCAACAGGTGCATGACATGTTATATACAGTCACAGGTAAGAACTTGATGCAGGTAAATTAGAAAATGTTGAAGTACAGGTGTGAATCAGATCAGTTAAACTGGAAGTAATCGTCATGTGTTTACAATGTACATGTTTATAGGATAGAGCTCTAAGCAATAAGTTAAATGTTGAAGTATATTGAAGTCAGATGATTTCAACTTGAAATAAAAGGTTGAATGATGATGTTGTATATCTGAAATTGTTCAACCTGGTGTTGATAAAATATAGATGGAGCAGTATTGGTTAAACATAAAGCATTGAGTACATGTTAAAGTATGTTGGAGTCATTTGATGTAAACCTTAAGTAAAAGGTAAAATATTTTGTAAACCTCAAGTAAAGGGTAAAATATTTACATAGATTGTACCATTTCATGTGAAATAAAAGATGTTGTTTTTTTTACATTCTAGAACCATATTTATTTAACAAAAGGTGAATTGCATAGATTTTAAGCAATACATGGCTATTTATGAAGATTGAAAAAAAAGGCTGATTGCTTTATAAGTCTTAATTTCTAAACAATGAATGGTTGTAAATGTAGTCATCTTTGGTTAAATCTGAAGCCATTGATGTCAGTTAATAAATAAAAGAATGAATGGGGGCCATTTTTAGATAAATCTAAAACCCTTGATAATATTAAGGTTGGGAAACATTATTGTTAATCTAAAACCATTTATGTAGAATGATTAAGTTTATATGAAAATCATCTTGGATAAAGTTGAAGAAGTCAATGAATTGACGAAATATAGATGGTAATGACCACAATAAAACTTGAAACAGATATTTTCTATATTTGGTAAAATACTTTAATCTCGTGCAATTAATAGGTTTCTTTAATCAGAAAGAAGATGAGAGACCAAATTAATGTTGATATGAAGAATTCTGCATGTATGTGCTTCATTGAAATATATTTTACTTACCTGAAAATAAATTAAAGATGAAATAAAATTAAAGATGAAATATTTTTTGTTGTGTGTTAATGATTTTAACCACTGTCACCATGGCGTTGAAGGCGTGCGTCTTGCATGATTTATGTTTCTATGATTTTATCAAGTAATTTCAAAACCATCCACACACTTGGCTCAATAGGGAGAGCATTAGTAATCAAGGGCTTGGAGAAGCCGTTTGAATTTTAGATTTTTTTTAAAGTTCAGAGAGGAATCACAAAAGCTCACCGACAGTTTATAGTGAAGATTTTAAGCATGGAATGATATAAGTTGTCAAATAAATATTCAAACATTAAAATTTAAAAACGTGATATACAATATTCAATACATTCACAAACTTTGGAGCCCATATATTTAATACAATAGAAAACGAGGAACCAAACATTTTTTGTTATTATTTATTCATTTGCTATCTTATTTATCATTAACAAAGTATAAAAATCACTTTTTTTTAAATCTTGCATAGAAAAATGTTAATATCAACAGGATTAAGAAAAAAGAAAACAATTAAAAATAGCTGAAAATCAAACAACAAATTCCTGAATTAAAAAAAAAAAAATATACAGACTACATATAACATATGGTATAGATAGCATCAGAAAATAACAACCAAATAAGCTAAGGCGTGGAGATAAATTTATATGAAGCAGGATTTAGGTTTTAATTTGAGCATTGAAACTTTGCCATTGTAAATAACTATAATAGTGCTTCACATACAATTGGAACAAAAATAGAGTTTAGTTAAAGCTACACAATGGCCAATTACATCAACAATCTTTTACTGCGTTTACATTTTGCTAATTTATGACAAATAATTTCACATTCAGTGCTACTTTCTTCAGGCTATTAGCATCTAACATGCTCTAAAACCCTTATTTAAACATTATATAACTCAAGTTTGAACTTTCTAAAGGAAAAATTCATTTGTGTCCAAGACATAATGTGCTTTTAAAATGCCTTTTTTATCATGAACATTGTTTCCAAATGTAAATCAAAATAGTCAATGTTGGTTGTTATATCCACACCATCTCTATTCATAATTACAATTTATTTCTACAATTTACTTTTATATATATATTTATATATAACAAACAAAAAAATCACACTATGTACGTAGACACCTACTTAATCATATTATTCAACTTAATTTCTAAAGCTAATAACGCTACCAATAAAATCTTAAGGAAATCATCAACAATGAATATTTTATAAAATAACTTGGTCCCAAACTAAACTTTCCTGAGTCTATTTAATTATGATAAAAACTAATGCCATAATTTAATACAGAAGTGTAAAAGTTATTTAGCATGTACCCTACAACTAATTTCATTCATCTTAATCAAAGCTAATCCATAGAGTGTAGACTGCATTTGCTGATGCCTGTTTTAAGTTACTCAGCCATTTAGTGGCTGAATATTTAGAATAGATTTAGTTTTTTTTAATTTAGGACAGTCAATTTAAAGTGTAGGAGACTTCAAATCAAAACAAAGAATAAGCTAACAGTAAAGAGCCTCCATAGGCTGCACAAAAAAGAAATCTGGTCTGGATCTGTACTATTGGCTAAGGATATTTCTATTGGTTCCAGTAAGTTAAGAATAAAATGACCTTTATTCAAATCTGCAGTTGTTTCCCTTGGTTAGTTAACATAATTATGTAATCAATGCACATTTGTGCAGTTGAAAGTCAATAACTTTCGGTCTGAGTGCAAGTGACAATATGAAATATAAAACCCTATATCAATCTAGAGCCAGACTACCCTATAACAATTGTAATCTAAGAATACTGTTCATTTACCTCTCTAGCTGGCTGCTCAATTTAAATATAAAAATCCCTTTCTACTATTAATGGACTATTTCAATTTCACAGCTGGACTTGTCCATTAAACAAATTCAGTGGAAATCAGGTTTAAAGCATAATTTCACAATACACAAGTGGACCACCTAAAAGTATAAAACTTCGTAACAGTTAAGTCATATAAGGTTAACAGAAACACTAATTTAACACAGAACAAACCACTACTTGCAGTTTTTTTAGATTTACAAAATGAGATAAAACAACAATCATAAATACAGTCAAACCTGTCCCCCGTGGCACAGGTAACATACCATGTTGTTAAAGCCACAGTTACTACTAACCTTGTCCTGCTACATATCTTAACTAATCTTTGTCCAATATTTCATTCTGGACAAAATTATTCATCATTTATAGGGAAAATTTCAAAAGATGTACTGACTGAATAGCAAACAGTTCAGACCATGATCAGATGGCAGGGATGTGCCTGGCTGATCTTGTTCTGGATGGGTCACATGGGTAAGATTTGTTGCTGCCAGCAGGCTAAGAAGCAGTCATAAGGGCTAGATTATCCCTCAAATAACAAAGTAAATGAAAAAGGTGGGATCATTTTACAGAAATGAAGTGAAAATAACAGTCATGGATTGAATTAGAGGCTGCCAATCAAATGTAACAATCACATCTCATACCCCATTAACCCATCCATATAAACGCTTGGAATGCATGTTATAAATGGTTTCTATGGCCTTCCCAAACAGGTCTGACTGTATCTTGTAATTGATTAAAGTACATGTATCACAGTTATTTTTATAATATCTTTTTTTTATCAATATAATGAACAGCACTTGTTTGTGACAAGAATATAAAATTGAAATAGTGCAACCTTTAACAATCAACTTCAAGAACTAACTTTTAACAATACTATACAAAGGTAAATAGTCAGACTTTGTTTACATAAAAGATTTTGAAACGTATTATAATAACTCTTGATTAACCAAGATTTTCTAAAATTTTCTAATTTGCATAATTTTTTCTCCAAAGGTTTGTGAGTTAGTGCCTTTGATATATGTTTGAAAGTCAAAGGACAGTAAAGTGAGCGTGAAAATCTATTGATACACCTAAAGATTTTAACGTATTTCAACTTTTTGTAAGAAACAGTAAAATTTTAAATTTATATATTTTCAATGACAAAAGCAGATGGATCATTTAGAGTTTTTGCTGTACTGTTATAAAGCTAACAATAATAAAGGTAAACATATGTAGGACTTTGGTTGATATTTTCTGAAAGCTGTTTGCGCTGACGTTAACCTATGAACAGGAATCTGTATTAACATTGAGCACTTCAAGGACACTGCGAACTGTGGGAAATGTCTCCCATACTGTAGGGTAACCAGACATGGGTGTCGCTAATCTGGAAAAAACAAAAACATCTTGATTACCAAATCGCTAGCTTTTGAAAATTCAACATGTAATTTCACTGATTGATTTATACAAACAAGCTTCGACTCATTCTCTTAAAATATCATGACAAAGCCCAGCAGTAGCAAACTAATAGTGTTCTAAGTTCTAACCCTAGACAGGTCATATTAATTATAAAATTATGTAACCAAGGGTACAAGTTTTCTGGGTATTTTCCTAAATTTCAGGTTTTTCAATACTCTGAAAAGCTGTCTACTGGAGCTATTTCATTAAATTGATAAAAATAATGCTTTGTTTTGTCATGTTAACAGATGGACAGTGTTACTGACGGACAAGGACGAATATTTATATATATATGCCCTACCTTTTAAGTAGTTTGGGCATAAAAAAGTCTGCAAACTTTTTTGTTTTAAGCTTGTTTCTAAAAGCAAATCTCCATACATCAAAATGACTTCTGACACAATCTACAATTTCTTGTGACTATTTATTCACTTCATACCTTTTAATGTTCATCCATTGTTTAGTTACAAGTATAAAGGCATCTGGGGCGCCTGATAACATTGCCTCCATCTCTAGTAACTGTAATAAACACAATATTATAATGTATCATAATATAACTTTATATATTTTCTACATTAAGAGCATGTATTGCAAATATTACAAATAGAACCTGAAAAGACGAGAATCTGTGTTGTATACAAGTGTGATTGCTGACGTTATGTTAAGTTGGAATTTATACTGCAGGTTTGTAAAATCACTTTTCTATGGATAATGAAGAAATCTCGTTTTTTTTTGTCTTAAAAAGATACTTGCTGTATTATAAATTCGTTATAAATATTTCTGACATGTTATTTGGCTGTATATAAATGGTTGTTTGAAATATGACCCTCACCTTACAGCTTGGGTTATAGTTCTAAACAACTGTTAATATAGGGCAATATAACCTGTCAAAAATCTTGACTCATTAGGATTTTACTTACTAGAGTCTAATAAGACACAGACAACTGTAAAACACACTACATTAAAATGTATTGTTTCACCAGGAAAGAATATTAAGATGAAAAAGAAAACAGTATTTGGTACTATTTATGCAATTTAGTTTAGATCTGTCAACAGTTGGTTTGAAAACCATTGACACTTACACAAATGCAAAAAGTAAAACTATTCTTTTAAAGGCCACCCTGCAAAAAAACACAAAACTGAGAAATATTTCATCTTGGCTTTCAAATACGAGACTGTGTGTAATCTAATTCTTAGAGCAATATCAATCCCTTACTCAATTTAATTTTCAAAATATTTTTGTCTTTCTTGCTATTTCCAACTATTTAATTAAGATTTAAATATAGATGACAATACAACATATATACAATGATCAGATTGCACAAACATTATACTAGTGGCAAAGACCTATTGGTATAATTACAATTATCAAGACGTTAACAATAATGGTTGCCCTACAAGTCTTCAGAAATGAGAAACTATAGTACATACCTTACTAGTTGGAAGTTTTCCTGTTACCTGGCGATGTATGGACATTATAAGACCAAGTGCCACAGAATATGCTACAACACTGTAATGTAAAATGTTTACAAAATAAGTGTTACTTTATAAGTATGATAACAGTAAATAAATATGATGATTGAAATACAAACATATAATAACCAAATATAAGCCACAATTGTAAACAATAAAAGAATGATAGAACCATAATTGTTTACAACTAAGAGGTACAATAAATTGTTCAAAATCTGCCAATCAGAAGTGAGCTATGGTGAAGCTTCTTGAATTTGGAAAATTTATATGGAAACTTTACAATCAATGCCTACTTCTTCTTGGTGTCAAAGCATTAAGCTACATATGATAAATTAAAACTGCAATCCAGACTTATGTTGTATCTATGCATATATTATCTGGGTTACAGAATGAAGAGGTAATGGCCAAGGTAAAGTTTTTTCAGGTAAATAGATTACAGACGGACAGGACAAAAATAATATGCTCTTCTTCAATCTACCAATGTGGGGACATTAAAATAAAACATTACCTTGATCCTCTAGATAGAGGCATCAGATTGTAGAAATAATAGGCTAGAGAGAGTATTACGTTCACCACTGAGTCCATCTCCTGTACCAAATATAAACAATAGAACTACAATTGAAATCACTGAATAAAATTTTTCATACATTTTTAAACAAGAGGGCCATAATGGCCCTAAAGTCGCTCACCTGTATATAGGCCCCCGGAGCGGGGCCAGTTTAAACCCCAGGGCTTTTATTTGAACAAACTTGATTGACACCCATTAGAAGATGTTTCATGCTAAACATCTAAGGTCTAGCTTGTTGGGTTTTTTAAAAGAAGATTTTTTCAAGTTTTTTTCTTTACACATATAGTTAAAAACAATGACACACCTGGGGCAGGGCCAGTTTTGACCCCAGGGCTTTTATTTGAACAATCTTTGTAGACACTTACTAGACAATGTTTCATGCTTAATATCTGAACTCTAGCTTTTCAGGTTTTTTCAGAGAAGATTTTTAAGTTTTTGCTATACACATATAAGGAAAATCAATGTCCCCTGGGACGGGGCCAATTTTGACCCCAGGGCTTTTATTTGAACAAACTTTGTAGACACTCACTAGAAGATGCTTCATGCTTAACATCTAAACTCTAGCTATTTGAGTTTTTTCAAAGAAGATTTTGTAAGATTTTGTCATACACATATAAGGAAAATGAATGACCCCCGGGGCGGGGCCAATTTTGACCCCAGGGCTTTTATTTGAACAAACTTGGAAGACACTCACTAGAAGATGTTTCATGCTTAGTATCTAAACTCTAGCTATTTGTTTTTTTTTAAAAAAAAGATCTTTTAAGTTTTTACTATATGCATATAGGGAAAATGAATGACCCCCTGGGGCGGGGCCAATTTTGACCCCAGGGCTTTTATTTGAACAAACTTGGTAGACACCCATTAGAAGATGTTTCATGCTAAATATCTTCGCTCTAGCTCTTTGGGTTCTTTAAAAGAAGATTTTTTAAGTTTTTACTATATACATATAGGGAAAATCAATGACCCCCAGGGCGGGGCCGATTTTAATTCTAGGAACAAAATTTGAACAACTTTGGTTTTGGACCTATAGATGATACCATAGACCAAATATCAAAGCTCTAGGCCAGCTAGCTTTCAGACCAGAAGATTTTTCAAGTTTTCACTATATGTATATAATGAAAATCAATGACCCCCGAGGGCGGGGCCAATTTTGACCCGAGGGCCATTATTTGAACAATCTTGGTAGAGGTCTACCACACAATGTTTCATGCCAAATATATTACCTGTAGCCTTTGCCAATTCAGATAAGATTTTTTTTATGTTTTACTATATACATATTAGAAAAACCTATGACCCCCCCGGGGTGGGGCCAATTTTGACACTAGGGACAAAATTTGTACAACTTTGGTATTGGACCTTCAGATGATACCATAGACCAAATATCAAAGCTCTAGGGCATTTACTTTTAGACCAGAAGATTTTTCAAGTTTCCACTATATGTATGTAATGAAAATCAATGACCCCCCGGGGCGGGGCCAATTTTGACCCTAGGGCCATTATTTGAACAATCTTGGTAGAGGTCTACTACACAATGTTTCATGCCAAATATCTAATCTGTAGCCTTTGCCAAATCAGAGAAGAAGATTTTTTTAGATTTTACTTTATACATATAAGGAAAAACCTATGACCCCCCGGGGCGGGGCCAATTTTGACACTAGGGACAAAATTTGAAAAACTTTGGTAGAGGACCCATAGATGATACCATATACCAAAAATCAAAGCTCTGGCCCATGTTCTTTCAGACAAGAAGATTTTTTAATTTTGTGTTTTTTGAAATCCTTTTCTGGCCCTATGACCTACATATGCAACAGACCGGAACCATTTGAACAACTTTGAAAGGGGACCACCCAAGGATCATTTCTGTAAAGTTTGGTTGATGTGCAGTCATTTGTTTCAGAGGAGATGTTGTTAATGTTCAAAAGTTGACGACGCACGACGGACACAGGGACAACACAATAGCTCACCCTGAGCATTGCTCAGGTGAGCTAATAAAAATAGCAACAGTCATGGTAGGTGGCATCATGTCAAGAATTGTTAAAGTGTCATACTAGTAATGGTAAGGATTGCTGGCCCAGTGGGTTTAAATCCCAGCCAAGAGCAAGCCAATGTTTACTTCAGCAAGAAACTCATCATTAAGTACTGGTTGGTTCTAGGAACAGATTCAAGTGTGTGTCTATAAGCTTCCTACACAATTTATCTAAAATACATTCTGTATAAACAAATAGCTGCTTATTAACTTTTCCTAAAGTTAAAATTATCTACGTGTAGCAGAAATGAACATACACGGAAGCAAGATGAAAGTGTTGTAAATTCACAAAGACGTACAACATTGTCTTTATCATTGAATTTTCAAAAAACATTAAAATCACATTGTTCTGTACCACTATAAAGGTATAAAGAAACAATAATGATAAAATCGTCATACCGAGACTTTACTAGAACTAGTACGTTTAATTTCATCTTGAAGCTGGTTATAGATATAGTCTAACTCTATATGATATTCTGCCGTCCTTGTCCGAGTATTTGCCACGTCAATAGTAAACAATATCTGTTTAGCTCTACAAAAATACATAACCAATTAATATACATCATGAAAAATCGATTATAAAGGTGATATTTTGAAAAATAAATATCCTAACTAAGAAAAGAATAAGCTTTTTCATAAATATCAGCATAACCTTTATTACAATGTTACATTAGTTATAAATGTCCAGGCATGTAATGAAAGTAATATGTGTCTAGTTACATTGTTTCAAAGTTAAAAGTTTAAGTCTAAAGTTGTATACTATGCTATTTGTTCTTCAAGCAATATTTTGTTCATTTACATGATCTTGATTACATGTAGAATGATGTACATTTCTACAAATCACATAACAACGGTCAACCTTTTAATGAGCATTTAACTTCGTAGGCTGCGTTTTAATTTATATCAAATCTGTTAAGATTATTATTTATATGGCACCTTTACTGCTTTACCATTTGAGAAAGACCTCAGTTGCCCCTCAATGCATTTTTTTAAGGTAAGAAAGGGAGAATCTCAATAGAAACACAGACTGTCCATAAGCTAGCATTTGTGACAAAGAAAGAACAAAAGAGTATTTGAGCATTTAAATCCAATTTCTGACTTATGAAAATTGAAATATCCCTGGTATTATTGTATTAAAATCACTTACAAATCATCAGTTAGAACCAGCATGGCCCCTTCAAGACGATCTTTCTCTGATCTTTTACGTGTACTAGGAACCTGTGTTGACACAACAAAACCATTCTGATCTGTCTGATGTTTCTGTAATAAAAACAAACATTTGATTGGTGAATCTTTAATGTACACCCAATACATAAACCTATCTTAAAATAATACTAAGGTCATGGTCATACATTTGTTTGGAAACAAAATACAAATTTCATTCCAAGCAAAAAGTCAAGATTTAAATTATATGTTACACAAAACTGAAGATAGCTTACCTGAGGTATAATATTTAAATTAAGAATTTATCATGCATAAATTAAATAAACTATCACTGATCATAGATAATCATTAAACATCATGTGCAAATATATACATAGGAACTATAAAGTCACAAAATCACAAAGACACAGATGAGTTTTGATATCTGAAATCAAATCTGAAATTTCTTCAAAATATATCCCAAAAACAAATAGGATAAGTAAATAATCTGCAATAATGCATATAAATAGTCTATACCACAAGATCATCATGACTTATGTCTAAAATTATCTTAAGTATCTAAGCATTATTAAAGTTTGTAACTACAATCATATTTGAGCAGCATCATGACAAAACAAACATAGTGCGTTTGCGACCAGCATGGATCCAGACCAGCCTGAGCATCCGTGCAGTCTGATCAGGATCCATGCTGTTCGCTTACAAACCCTACAGCAAGTAGAGAAACTGATAGCAAACAGCTTGGATCCTGATCAGACTGCGCGGATGCGTAGACTGGTCTGGATCTATGCTGGTCGCAAACGCACTATGTTGGTTTTGTCGTGACGCGGCTCTTAGCATTATTAAAGTTCGTAACTACAATCATTTGTAAGCGTTAATTTGTACGAGGCAAGTTTTGTTGTGTCCTCTGCATTTATTAATGAAGCAACTTCGATATTGTGGCAGACAGATAAATAACTAATCTTTTTCATGCATGAGGATTAAGTTTAGTATAAACATATTCATTTAAGCTGGATTGCTGAAAAATGTTTTATTAATCACTTTTGAGTCTGCTTCCTGAAACTAACCAATGCTGGGCTGACGAAACTTGGTGGTGACCCATGTAGGGCTGAAACCCATGATCCCTTGGACTAGAAGCAAACACCTTAACCACTATGCCATCGCTCCCCTAATGATTAAGATTAAGCTTTAAGTGATAAGTAACATAATAACTGTTTTTATTATAAGTTCTTAAACTTTTAAGTTGAACCAACCACTGAACATGAAATGGCTAAGCATCAACTTTTATAAGGTAAGAAAAACTCAGGGTGAACCTATGTTATTGCATCATTTTTGTTATTGCATCATTTTTGGTATATCTATGTATAGATCTTTCGACTTCAGTAACTTAGCTTGACAACTTATTTATATGAGAAAAACAAGAACCAACCCCCTTAAGATTTTGGACTAACTTCCACAAAGATATGGTACTTAAAAGCTAGCCAAATATCTTAGCCACAAAAGCCCAATACATTTTTTTTGTGGTTTTATATAATAATTTATATACATTCCAAAACAGCTCTTACATGCAAGTGATTGGAAGTTGTGAGGATGGAAGGGTATAGGAAACCTGGGGACCTACCTACTATCCCTAAAGAAGTATCAACCAGATAACATATCAACATATGAATTACCAGTACTAAACAAACATCTAAATTATAGATTTAGAATTTAAACAAGTTTTAGATCAATCCATTAGCAAATTACTAATACATTGAAATAAAGACAATGTACAACTGGAAATTTTCTACAGGTAAACTATTCATTCTTTTAAACTAATATCCATGCCCTCTTTTTATTTGAACACAAATTAACCAGGAAATAATTACAATATGGAGGAACAAGGGAGACAAACATAGAGCGGGATAAACTGGAATTTGATTACTAGACATTCCTAGACAAATGAAGACATGCCCAGACAAATGGAAGGTTATCATGTTTTTTGTTCAAATAAGGAGGTAGATTTCAGCACAGGGAAAATAGGGAGGTTAACCATAAATCCTACCTGTGTACCATCTTTTGTTGTACAAGAAAAAAGTCCAGCCTAACCAATATATAACATTAACACACATTTTGAAAGATGACAAGTGTGTAGACTTAAAAATTTATTAAAATTTATTGGATATGAATCACACTATAAAATTCTAAGGTAATGCTGCTGTGATTTTATCTAATGCAGAAAAGTGCCAAAGGAAAAAACTGCTGATAATTGTGTGCTCCAGTGATTCAGTGTACCAGACACTCACCTTCTGAAAGATTGTGCAATAGCCTGTAAACTTTTAAATATTTCAACAAAACCTAACACTGCAAGATCATTATTATTCGTAGGGTAATAATTGTCATGATTTTCTTAGATAAGTCAATTCACATATTTAAAATCTGACAATATTTCATTTTGTCTACTGTAAGACTATTTTGCATCATATTATCTACATTTTACCCTTTGGTAGTCCATGAATTTTAAGAGCCCATGAAAAAGTTCTTTATCAGAAAACCACGAAATTTCATGCCCATGAAATTAAGTGAATTCACAGTACTGACTTCATTCAATGTCCATTTTCTTATTGAATAAAATATATTATAAAAGAATCAGCAGTATGTGAGGTATCATATACTTGATTGAATATAAAGGCCATTAGTTTATACTTGAAACATTACATGAAAAATAAAAGAATCAAAGTTAACCACTGAACCACCATGTTTAACTAAATAAACAGCAATAGTGAAATAATTCATACAGCACGCATAAAGCAAATCGAGTGTTTGACAAGAAAAATTGTACTTAACTTGATGTTATTACTCTAAGCATTTGTTAAGCAACTTAGTCTTGCAAACCCTGTGACCTTACACAGATCATTAGAAGTTTGTTAGTAAGTAGCTCCAATAGACATGAATTTGTTAGGTTTTTTCTTGGAATTAGTAAAATACAATATATTGGTACAGCATTAGTTTAAGTTACTAAGCTACTATTAGTGGGTGGGGTATGTGTATATAAGATATTACATTCTTCACATTAACCTTTGTCACTTCGAGCAGGTCCTCACATGTTTTAGCACTCTCAATCTCTTCTTTAGCTGTAGCTTGCTTTGACTTGACAATCTCACTGTAATCATAAACATATCTGTTAATTTTTCTAATAACGGACAATACTGGAGTCATAACACATTTTTGTTGAACATCAAAATAATATAACAAGAACTATCCCCAAATGAAATTCATACCGCAATATCCTTTGACAGATATTGACATTGTAAAAAGTAACTTTCCAAGTCATTAAAGACATAATTTATTTGTCTCCAGCCAAAAGGAAGAAAATCATTGTTCAAGTAATATCAAAACATTTTGAATCATATATAGTTTGAACCAGCTGTTTTTTAATCTATGTAAAATATGAAAATGTTAAACTGACAAAACATGTTTTTTTGGACTGGCAGAGATTAGTGTTACACTTTCTGTATCATTTCACAATCTTCTCTGTAAAGAAATACTCAGAATAAAATAATCAAACATCAAACCTACCTTGTAACAGAATAATGTTCCAACATAGTTTTCACCAATTTGAAAACCAGATTAAAATAAGGCATTGTTTTTATATTGTGAACAGAACCTCTGAAATAAAAGTAACATTTATATAAAACAACAATATACATTTTACAAAGTAAATCATGAACACAGAATGTAAATACATAACCTATGTGAAAACTAGAAATGTCTCTTTGGACACCGATTTCCCACCATTTGACTGTTCTGTCAATTTATAGGTTTACAGATGGACAGCAGGATGGACAATAGTGAATATATGTCTCCACTCCACCCCACCAAAGTGGGGGCATAAAACTTTTAATAGCATTCATAAAACAAATTTATATGCATGAAAAAATATCAAACAAAGTATTTATTCATAATTGTACTGGTTTAGCTTAATACCAGGTCAATTATATAAAATTTATTGTCTACTTTCCACAACTTTATTATTATAAGGCAGTCAAATTGCTGTGTGCAACAACTCTTATACTCATAGGTTCATTAACACCTACAAGCACACATCCCATTTTTAGAAAATCAATATTAGAATTTCAATTCCAGTAACAGATTTGAAAAATAATCTAACAAAACTCAACATACTTTACAAGTGTAATCACTGTTTTATAACCATCTTTATCTTTATGATCCGGCATCTTATCCAGCCAAAGAACCGGTTGTTCCGGATCAACCAATCTCCGGTATCGTACTGCGATATTAAATAAATCTCGCCAACTATGCTGCCAACCTGCAATATTACCATTATTCTATATAAATTACACAGATGCTTAAAACCCATATTCATACTGATCACATCAAATGCAATTGAAATATAATGAAAATTTTCTGCACTGAAATATATTTCATATCTGATCAAGAAAACTACCTTGTAAAAAAACAAACTCGAGTTTCATATAATCTCTATTTGATAAAATCTAATTCAATTCAAGTCACTAAACACTTATTATATCAAATATTTGGTCGTAAGTCTTAATATTCATGGTAGACATGATTCTAAACTTTTTTTGTTATACCTAAGGGCTAATGTATTTGAAGAGGTTAAAAAGTTGTCTATGTACCTGATTTTACAAGAAAAGAAAACACATGGAAATTTTTAATATTCTGACTTATTGTAGCACGCCTCCAGATAAGCAAAAATATTTCAATAAATCAAGTCTGAGAAAAATGTACTAAGATTTTAGGAAAAGTAAAAAGAATCAAAATTATAGTAATAATTTACATTTTATATGCGACTTATGACCGATTTATCAGTATTTATAGCTATATTTCTACTGTGTTACTAACGCAGTAAGGGCCATTTTTACATATTTTGACCTTTTTATGGTAATGTACAAGGGTTGTAAGTGCCATTTATAATGTGCACATTGCATTCTTTTAGTAACTCCACAATATTATTCTGTTAAAATACATTTTCAAATTTTCATGAAAATAAGCATGAATCTGGAGGCATGCTGCTTTAAATCATTGGCACCAATAAAAAACTTACCGACTGCTTTATTTTGTCTTAAATCCCGCCACTTTTTCTGAAAATAAAAAACCCTAAATATTTCTATATTAACTTACAACTTATTTGTTTAATTATATTTATGTAATCTTGAATGCTTACAAGTTATTAAAAACCAGTATAAATCTACACATTTGTTTCTGACATATTTTATGCATGTTATGTAGAGTATAGTTCTATTAATAACAACCAAAAATCATTCATTCACTCAAAAAAGATATTTGCCTTTTTAAATACTGGTTGAATGACTGTTAAATTTAGTTTATGTAACAATGATAACAAATATTCATGGATTCTGTATCATTCATTATCATAGTTGTTGTTGTTGTTAGGTTTCAAGTCAAACCGACACTGTAATGGTCATGTGACCATTTTCAAGTGTAAGGTACCCCCCTCCATGCATTACTTCAGGCATGAACAGAAACCCAGAGTAGAATCATTGACAATTCGTAAGCTTACTGGAAAGCTTCCTTGCATAAAAAAGAATCAAAACTTCCTGACGAAAATTCAAATCCACAGCAGTGATTGACCAGCAGTTTGAAGTTGACAATTTTAACCACAAAATACTCATAGAATTTCCACTTGCAACATACATTTATTGAATCAATATGATTAATCATTCAATATATGGTGTTTTCAGTATCATCATGTCAGAATCTGACATAAATGTATTAAGTTTTGTTGGGTTTTGTTTTTTTCTGGATAGCTTCCTTACATGAAAGAATCCCAAGTAATGTCTGAGTTCTTCAAACACAATTAGACATACATTAACACTGTTAACTGAATCCAACAGTCTTGAGGCTATTACAAGTATTGGAGCACAAATATAAATCAGTTTACATTACAAACCAATACAAGATGGACTCACCTCATATAATTGAGCAATATGTATTGAAGAAAGCCCCATGGCTAAATTAAGTCTTTTATTTGGTGTGTAGCCATCTGTATTAACCTGCATTAGCCAGCCTATCTTGTGAGCTTTACAGATCAAATTTTGAACTGGCCGAGGAAAATCACTAATTTCTAGTTGACTAATATCTCTGAAGAAATAATATTTGAAACATTTGATTTTGCACATTAAAATATCAGAATACAACATGAACATTTTCTTTGAATAAATTTTTCCTCTACTATTGATTTTGCATATTTTTAAACAGCATTATACTAGTGGTTAATGAAAACTAGTTTTTTCTTTTTTTTTCTCCTTTCTTTTCGGTTGGATTTTAAGTTGCATCAACACAGTATAGGTAATATGGCAACTTTTTAGCTTTACTGATAGAAGATGACCTCAGGTGCTTCTATGTGCATTATTTCCAGCACAAATGGGCACCAGAGTAGAACCACCAATGTTCCGTAAGCAAGCTGGATAGCTCCTTACATGAAAGATTCCAAAGACCCTGTCAGGATTCGAAGCCACATTGCTGAGGGGCGAGTGGTTTGAGCTCGGCCACAGACGCTCCCAAAAAAGTTTGTTGTATATCATTCTACACATGCACATTTACATAAGGAAACTAATTTTTCTCTATCAAGTTGTTTATATGATACTGAAAGTTTATCTGTACATATAGGTTTATTGCTAGTTCTTTAAACAGGTAAGATTGTATTAAATAATAAAGAAACAAAACATTGGTTAAACTTACTTTATATGAGGTTGTATTCCAGGTTGTTCTTTGTAACTACCCTAAAATGAATAAAGAATGCATGTTCAAACTTTTATCATTTCAGTGCTAACAATATTCTTACACCAGTATACTGCCATGTATGCCACACAAGAATCTTGTCCAGCAGTTTGTATATTAAAAACTAATCTGAACTCAAATGGACATTTTTAAACCTAAAGACAGGAAAGTCTTATAAATAAAGTCAGTAGGGCAGGAATAATGTGATGCTGATGATAAATGAAATCTTCTCTAATGTTGCATCTAGGCTGCGCAATTGCGCAATTTTCACATATCTTTTGCATTTTGCAGATCTTGCATTTTAATGAAGTCAATGCTCCCTATTTTATCAAACAATAGTATGACATACTATAAATGTGAAGACAAAGGTGCATTTGTTCACAATGAAGAAAAATAGTTATAGTAATGAAGAAATAAAGAAATATAACTGACAAAATTCACTGTTAAAGTTAAGAGTGTTAATCTGTACCTGAAATTCAAATGGTAAATTCTTTAACCAATGGTCTCTG